CCTCGTCAAAAGCCAACTACAAGGGTGAAGTGTATTTTTGGTCGAGAGTTTTCTGTTTCCCACAAGTGAAGACGTGTTGCAAACTCATTAGGCTAATGCTCATTTTGGCAGAAGTTTGCCCATTAAGTACATGACAGGCCGACTTAGACCGATCTAGAGCCGGCATGACACCTACACACCACCGACACCAGTATGACTTATAACTGCCACACTTGTTCTTCAACTCAGCACACCACTGACTTGTACAGTCTGGCAATTCAAAAGTGTATCGAAGCATGAAGATCATTAGCAACAGACTTAGTCTTATAAAGTTAATGCTCACTAATAAACAAATTGTAAGTTTTTACACAAACATAAGTGTAAAAAAGACTAAAGCCAAGCTGCTCGCAACTCCCTGTAAAAGCACAATTTCTTGTTTTTACATTTTTGTTTCCGTACAAACTAAGGAAAGAAGACAGAACATGTTCTTTAGTGAACTTTAGAGGTGCTCGTAGATCTATGTTTTTACTTTGGAGAGAGAGAGAAGCAGGCTAGCTGTTTGTTTTAAGTCTTTATGCTATGCTAAGCTGATTGGTTTCCTGCCTCCAGCTCCACAATTAACACACAGATATGAGTGTGGTATTGATCTTCTCACCTCATGGACAGCAAAGAATTTAGTAACATTTAAGAATTAGTGAAATGTTAAATCTATATAGCTACATGACCTTTGAACTGAAAAAAAACTCATGGTTTCTGTTGTTAGAACAGGACATACTGTAAATGTAGAGAGAACAGGAATCTGGAAAAAAAGAAATCTTTATACTTGCTCTCATTGTGCTAATACCTAATAAAATTAACTAAATAAAATTATTAACAATTCAAATTATTCCTTATTTTGCTGGTTACCATCTGTATTCACCTAAAGTTGGGCCTCAAGTTCAGAAGCTCATTTGGTTTGTTTATAATCACAATTAGGTTTGAATCATTCAATCATTCTGTGGACAACAGAATTTTGTGAAACCATATGTCGTGTCATCACAGTATGATACCACTTAAAAGTCTATAAACAATGCCCAATGTTAAACTGTACAAGAGTGCAACAAAGTGCATGCCCTGGACGTGCCCCTGTGGAAGTGATGTGCCATGCCACACTAGAAGAGCCAATTGGCACAAAGTCCTAAATTTCTTCCACTGCTCCACATGTGGTGAGCATTAGACTCGGGTCATTAAACACAGAGCTCTTAAACTGCTTTTTCTTTTGTCTTAAGTTTGTTTATGTCCATCCAGACAAAAGTAAGTAAAAACAATAGATCCCAACCCTCTGGTGAACTGGTGGCTGAACAGAATACAGCCACCCACAGAGCAAAAATAATAGATGTCACTTATAACTAATTTTACATAATTAGTGTTTTGTAGACAGGAAGATAACATTAACTGTATGTGTATTCTGGATATAAACTGTTGCTTACAGGACATATGAATTTGGGCTGCGACCAACTAATATTTTCATCACTGATATTTTTTTTTGGTAATTTCGTTCGTCTGTGGGATGCAAAAAAAGCTGCAGAAAAGTTCCCATCGCAGGTTCCCAGAGTGCAATGCGATCTTATTTTGTCCAACAAGTCATCCAAAACCCAAAGATATTCTATTTACAATAATGTAAAGAATTGGAAATCTCCCCTTTGGAAAAGCTTGAACCAGCTAATTGTTGGAATTATAGCTTGATAAATGACCTAAACGATTAATCAGTTATCAGAATTTATTGGATTTCATTTTCTTTCACTCAACAAATGAACTAATCAACTAATCATTTCAGCACAACATATGAACTTTGTGTAATTTATGCTCTTTCCATGTTCCCCCAGGGCTAGTCAACATATCCAAACTATGTTTCGTCTGACCAACGGTCCAAAACCGCAAAATATTCAGCTTACTAACATGTACAGCAAAGAAAAAGCAGAAAATTGTCACATTTGAGATTGCCCAATCACTTGATCAACTGGTTTTTTCTCAGCAATACATATAAATATTTTGTAGTTCCAGCAGTAGTTGGTGCTGCAATCAACAATCTACATCAATCTTTCACAGATTTTGTGAACTCCCTGTGAAAATAATCTGATTCAGTGGTTTCCAGAGTCAGATGTGGGAACGCTTCAGCAGTCCTCCAAACAAAATAGAGAATAGGCTTGTTTTATTTAAAGCTGAAACAATTAGTTCATAAATCTATTTGACAATCGACAGAAAACTAATCAGCAACTCTATCCATGATTATCTAATCGTTTTTGTCATTTTTCCAAGCAAAAACACAAAACATTTTCTGGTTCCAGCCTCTAAAATGTAAGGATTTGCTGCTTTTCTTTGTCGTATATGACGGTAAACTGAATATATTTAGCTTTTGAATTGTTTTTTTTATGTATTTGAAGATTAAAACCACAGGATCTGGGAATTTACATTGCAGCTGCCAGTTTATTAGGTACACATGAACCCCTCTCTGTATTATGCAATAAAGTTCAACAGCACCACAAAGGACATGCCCCACAATGATCATAAAGCTGAATCAACACCTCTCGAATCAATTTCAGCAACAACTGCATATTATATCCTTCATGAAGGTGTGATTTATTGCAGGGCTGTTGTATTAGTTTGTAGAAGTACCTAATAAACTGGCAACTGTATAATGGACACATTTCACCAATTTTATGACATTTTATAGCCACAACAATTAATTGGATTATCATTAGCTGCAGCCCTAGTTTTATTTTACATTGACAACTTTCATTTGAAGTCATGTAAATGGAGAAACGATCATCTAGAAATGAGATTTTGATCGGCTTCAGTAGAAACAGCTGTGTACCTCTGTTTCAGATGATAAGGCAATCTTTTCGGGGGGGGGGGGGGGGAGGGAGGGGGGCGCGACTGCAAAGTTAAAAACCATCCTGAAAGAAGCTCTGCGGTCTGTGTGGCATGAAATCAAAAACATGCATCTTACGGTAAAACACCTTCTCACACACTGGAAACCCTGACCCGAGTTATGTCTTCGTGCCCGGTGAGAGGAAGCTGTGAAGCCGCATGGCTGAGCTGCAGCTCAGAGCCACGCTGCGGAGTGAACATCCCAAAATAAAACTCTCACCGGGACAATCCGTTTATCGCGCAGCGCGCTGGAAAACACGTCTGCAAAATGACAAACGACAATGTCGGTGGTCGTTTGTCATGACTGCAGGAGTTTAGACTGAGGTGAACCCACCTTTGAGACGGTCATATGGTGCGAGACGCGTCGGCAGGTGGTGGTGGTTTTCCCTGGAGAGGACTCAGTGGAACAGTGCAGCGGCGGTGGTGGAGGAGCCGGTGGAGGACTTTCCAGAGCGGGGACGAGTCGTGTTAAAACACCGGTGGTTGTTGAAGCATGGTGGTTATTTACAAGTCATGATGCCCGGCCTGACCTTGAGAGTCTCCCCCACACACACACACACACACTTACACACACACATACACACAAAACAAAAAATAAAGGCTCACAGACAGAGCATACCCTTCCTGTACACACCACAGCTACTGGGACAAAAAGAAAAATAGGAGGAGGAGGAGGAAAAGGAGGATGAGGAGAGATGCGAGCACAGGATGCGATGAGGGAGGAGGAGGAGGAGCAGGGAGGGGCGAGGCAATCCAGGTTGATTCAAAGCGTAGTGTGTCATTAAAGGCAGATAAAAATAACACACAGTGCAAGTTGAGTCTCTAAAGACACGCCACAATGTCAAAATATGGGAGAAATAAAAAAATTACAATGTACACAAAGTTGGATTATAAACAGGACAAAACCATCAAATCAGTGGTGGAAAGAAACTAAATATATTTACTCAACTGTTCTTCAGTACAATTTTGAAGTATTTTTCATGTACTTTGTACTACATTTCAGAGGGAAATATTCGACTTTTCACTTCTCAACATCTTATCCCACATCTGTACTTACCAGTTACTTTGATTATAGATTATACACATAAAATATGATTCATTGTTAAAGATTAAACCACCTTAACTTGCAGCATTAAACTGCTGTTTACAGGTTAATGCTGCATCTGTTAAATAATATACTATAATATATATAATAATATAACTTTAAATGGGGTATACTTTATGGTATATCATTGTGGTTGACTGTATATATACGTGTGTGTGTGTGTGTGTGTGTGTGTGTAGATATTTAGCATTTAGGGCAGAATAAAACCAAACCAAAACAATTAGTGTGAATGTTAATTAGTTTGTGAATTTGCTTTTCTGAAACACAATATTATCAGACACATGAAGAGCCTTATAAAATGAGTGCCTTATTATAGTCCTGTGGCTCAGTCTGGTAGAAGGGTCATGTGTCAAAATGTAGTTTTTTTTTTAGACTTTTTATTTGGTGCATATTCCTGAATAAATTTGTGTTCAACCTAACTGACACACAGGGAACCTGGGGCATAGGGCACAGGGCAGTTTCTTTGTCTCTGTAGGCAAATGATAATGAGGCTGTCATGTGTCGCCTCCTGTGAGAACTGTATTTCATGGGACCTTAAAGGCGACAGGTTGAACACACACAATGCAGCGCAGAATAAAGGGAGGAAGAAGCGTCAGCAGAGGCTCACAGATCAGTTAGTCAGTCAGATCTGAAGTGTTGCTGTGACTCACTGTAAGATGCATATCATAGTATTTGCATAGATTCCATATGGTTGTGTGTGTGTGTGTGTGTATGTGTGTGTAGATAAACGGTTCATGTGCTTTCTGATATCTGGTTCAGGCTGTCCTGGTTTAATAGAAGAAATGCAATTCTCAATATCATATATAGTAGGAAAATTCTGAGCTCTCAGGTGACAAAAAGTAGATCCTAAACAGAATGCCTTGTGGGTAAATACTTACTACTGGAACAAAAAACAGTGACAGAAATGGCCAAATTAAATTTTTAGGTACCTTTCCCACAACAATAACCCAAGTTTCCTTTTTAAGAACATACAATATGTCATTTCATGTTATGTTCAGTGCTCATCTTTATTTGAGAGTTTGTTGCCCCCCAGTGTTGAAACTCAGCCATTACAATATTTTTAAAAGCCACCCTGATCAGAGAGGTCACAAACTGTACACACTCTTACAATCATTTTATCTTGACAATCTCCGTGAACGACTTGTGCCATGTGAGGAAACAGGGCAGGTGAGGATAAATCCACATTTTGTTTTTCTTGTTTTCCAAATGTATGGGACAATGTGGTGTTTCAGTGTTCCCTTCCAGTCACAGAGCGGTTTACACCCCCATTCCAGGACGGTGTCACATTTCCTTCCACCTTACTCTCCATTTCTCAGCTCCTCAGAGGAATTATTTTCCTCTTAGAGGTGGATGACGATTGGTCAGACGTCTCTACATATGTCCAGAAGATGGGCAGCGATAGATAAAGCTGCAAAACAATGCTTTCACAGGTGTATTGAAGAGATGACATAATGATTTTAACAAGTTTAGAAAAAGAAAAAGATAAAAAAACATAATCATAAAACATGCCAGTCCTGTGCTAAAGGTTAGTTCAACAGCTCTCTTCATAAATGAGCTTTAGATCTCCATGTTTTTTTGTACAGTGTGTAAAACCTTGTGGAAACATGGCGCACAAGATGTTTCTCTACACCAGAAACCTTTTAGGCGTGGTTTACCAGAACCAAGAGTGAACTGTGTTATCAGTCTCTTCGTCACCTGGAGGCTCAGCAGTCGAATACTTGAGCTGCTCAGACAAGTTGTCTGGCTTCAAAATTCTCCCTGGGGTGTAGCGGGGTTTGTTCGTGCAGCCTCCACATGTGCACAAACAAAACAAGTTTTCTCAGAGGAGCTTTTTTCTGAAAAATGGAACCAGAAGCTTTGTGCCTTTCAGAAACAGTTCAGTTAGAAACTGATTAATGACCAATGAAACTCAAAAATATACCAACTCTTGAAAAGCTGATCCGAGTTCTGTGACACCACAATATCCTGGAAAACATCTTGCTTTAACTTGAATTTTTTTTATTTTTTATTTTTAATTTAATCAAAGCCAAACCCTGTTAAATGAATGATTTAATCCTAAAGTATCCAGGACATAACAATGCCAGAAACATACTGAAACATAGGCGTCATATTTGTGTTGATATGATACTGGACTTTTAAAAGTGATGAGGCCAAATATTCAGACAAAAAAGAATCCTGCAAATATAAATACAAAAGTCTCATTGTGGATTTAGTAAAATTTAATTTATCTACAATTATGTCTCCATACAGGCATACAGACCGATAGATTCTTTATTCATTTCAATGTGGCTCATAAATTGATAAGTTACACAATATCATACAGAAGCTGGATGCCAGTACTGGACAAAAAGTTGCAAAAATACCTTTTTTGTCTTTACATCTTTTCTCTCAGTGTTTTGCAGCATATTGTAGAGCAGTTAGGTTGTGTCGTCAAAACAGAACGAATACTGTAACACTGAACTCGAACTGATTGGGGTGTGAAATTTCAGGGTGCAGCACAGTGACATGTTGCGGGTGATCCTAATGCATTGTGCGTCTGGTGAGAGCAGGAATGCAGGATGGGAAAAAAGCCGCCCGATGGAGCTCACCAGCACGTTTATGAGAAAATGAGAATAACATTAAATCTGTCCATAGTTGCATTTTTTGCTACATTTGAAATCCTCCTCCCTAAATGTTCCGGGTAACTCTTGTGCGTTAAAATTAACCTAGCGTGATTACAAACTATATGACAATACGTTACATTAACCACAAGACTGGTAAAATCCATCACAAACCGATGAGAAAAGTAGCAGAGATGAATGCACTGACATGTTCAAAGGTTTTAGCCGTCACTGAAAGCTGAAATCTTGGACAGAAGAACTTTATCCTGAACAAATGCATGTGATGACCGGGGGTAAAGAAAATAGAAGATAGCATGGCAGCTGGATAAAGAAACTCCTTCAGTATATTAGTCCTACTCTTGAGTTTCTCTCGTGTGTTTCTGTAAAGTCTTTTCTTGCCTGCTGGCAGACAAATTCCCATCTCTCCCTTTTTTTCTGTCAGTGTTTTTCTTTAGTCCTCATCTTCTTCTTCCTCCTCCTCCTCTTCATCATCATCAGTTTGTTCCCTGGCGTCGAGGTCGTCTTCATCTTCCACCTGTAAGGAAAGGGTCACAGTCTAACTAAAGCAAACAGACAAAACACGGCCAAGTAGTTATTCCTCCATGGTAAAACTCACTGGTCATGATATCTCTACTTCCAACAACTACCACCACAGTTCACTGGTTGAGCTGAGACATTAAGATTATTGAAATCTACAAAGACACCCAGCATTTAACTGTTTCCACCAATATACACTGGTGTTTTTGTCTTGACAGTCAGACAGGAATGACTGCAAGGGTGTAATTTCCACTTTTCTTTTCAAAATCTTCTTTTGTCACCCTAAGTTTTACAGTTTCAGCTTGATTTTCTGACGAAAATCTCTCTGAACAGCGTCCTCGTCCAGATGTAATCATCCAAACGAGAGAGGATCTGAGTCTAAGTCACCTGCAGTAACAACTGTGCGCTCACAGCAATACAATATTAATATTTTAATCAAAAGCTAAACGATGAGAAACATCAAACATCACTCAATCAGTGTTAATTTGGCATCAAAGTTTGATTTCGTTTTCGATTTTTGTTCGTTTTTGTCAATAGAAACTGTGTATTTAAAATCTACAGCACTTGCTATCATTTGATTTGTTAAGACAATTGTACCGCATTTTATCATGTGGTTACTTCATATTAAAATTTTTGTATTTTAATTGTGACAAAAGTCTGTCTGACTGCTTTTTGACAAGCACAGGCTATGGGATTTTATCTCCCAAACATTAAATCATAAAGTAATCGGCACAACAATCGCTTATTAATCGCCTTTAAGAAAAAAGACCTACATTTAACAAAGGTATCCCCAGCTGATGTGGCAACAGTGTTATTAAAAACTTCAGGTTATTTGAAGTGAAACGTTACTTCATATTTTTTTTTACTCCTGTGTTTTACAGTTAATCAGTCGACCTATTTTTCACTAACTCACATCACCACCATTTCCCCGCACACTGAACGATGATGATAACATGGCAGTCCAAGTTCAAACTCCTCTATGTCCTGATGAGTTTAGAAAAATGTAATACTGATCGTTTGTCTACCGTCTCTCCCAGGTCTTTGAGTTTCTGTTTGAGGCTATGGATTTTCTGATCCTGGTCTGCCAGCAGCATCAGCAGGTCGTCCTGCTCCTTCTTGGACTCTTGAACCTCCGTCTGCAGCTTTGCTTTCTCCGTCTGCAGGATGGCCACCGTGCTGGTGGCTGAAGCCAGCTGCTGCTCCAGGTCTGCCCGGCTCCCCGACAAGCTCTTTGTCTCCTCCTGAATCAGTGAAGAAGACGGAGAGTGAATGAGTTTTTTTTTTCCCTAAACACATATGATAGAATCCACGAAAAAAAGATGAGATTGTTGTTATATAAAAACTGGAGGTAAAGTGTAACGTTTGACAGAGCACAGACATATTGTTGCACAGATATTCCACACACCTTGAGTCTCTCTGTTTCAGTCATCTGTGCTGCAAGTCTGCTCTCAAGTTCTGCCATCTTGGCTGAGTCTAATGAGCCGTCACTGCTGTGGACTACGTCTGAGGACTGAGAGAAACCAGACAAAAGGTTCATTCATTTAGTATCTGTTAAGAATAATGTGATATTTTTTGGCACAAACTGTAATATTTGCACGATATTTACCCCGGCCTCAGCTCTTCTGAGCAGTTCTTCCCTCTCTGTCTGAAGCTGGTTGATTTCTGTTGACTGAGACTGAACCTGACTCCTCAAAGCCTCCAGCTCCTGCAACAAATTTAACACAAAAAAAAAAAAAAGATGTAAAAATGTAAAATTGAAGTTTTATGAATAAGGCTGGACAATATTCAACATTTTCTGTACTGCCAAGGACCAAAACCAACAGTGATCTGATCTTACTAACAAGTATTGTCTGTGTATCTGATTCATCTGGGCCATAGAGCTCCATTGTTAATGGATGAAATGTTCCTTCTTTACGATGAACGTGGGCACTGCAGTTTATTTTGAGTCAGTATCATAAACACTGTCTCAGGGTTTTCTGCAGGGTTCACCATCGGAAAAATGTATTATAGAAAATAAAAAAAAAATAAAAAAATGTTATTGTTTACGGCAGTCAGGAGGACATACAGTAACCAAGACGTTCAGAAGGTGTTCAGACAGTCCTGAGACAGACTAACACACGTTGGCTTTGGTCTTTTCATGGGTTTTGTTGACAGGAAGGTGAATATAGAATAATGCCAAACTTATCGTTAAACACAGGAGACACAGGTAAAATTCACGCTCTTCAACTTTTCAAGTGTTAGTATCAGAAACAGAACATACAGTACCAGTCAAAAGTGTGGACACACAGTGTGTCAAAACTTTGGACTGCTACTGTATGTTTCACTCAAACCGGGGAAAAGTGTACAGTGATGATGAATCCGAACCTTGAGTAGTTCTGTGTTTTCTGATCCTCCTGCTGAACCCTCTGCTGTCTGCGCCGCCTCTGACCTCTGCAGACACACACACACACACAGTGAAATCATAAATCACCAGCCATTTTAACTGTGATGGGGTAAAACTCTACGTCCGGTTCTAATTGTAATATAACATTCAGAACAACAGCTAGTTTCATTGATGATTAATCTGCTGATTATTTTCTTGTTTAATTGTTTTGTTTATATCAGTTTCCCAGAGGCAAAGGCAGCATCTTAAAACATCTTGTCTGACCAACAGAGTTTTTGCTTAAAAACTAACTTAAAACAATTAATCAATTACCAAAAAGATGCTGATTAATTTTCTGTCAATCAACTAACAAAGTAATTGCAGCTCTAATTCAGAAACAAAAATATGTGACAAAAAATAAAATTGTGCTCGCCTGGGAAGTGTTTCTAAGAAGCTCTAGTACGGTTGGAAATTCTGTTGTAATTGTCTGTCATAAGTTGTTTGCTTGAAAACTGTAGTTGACATCTACTGCTGTAATGTAATGTCCGTTATATGTCATGTATTATTCAAAGTCTATCTGCTGTTTATGTTCTGTGTATGGCTCTGATTAGACCAGACAAACTAAACATAAATTGTGTAGTAATGTCAACAGTTGTTCTGGGAACAGGGGTTGACATGGAGGACAGTTTGTCTACCAATCAATCATACTCAGGTGGTTGAACAGTGACCACTGTTGCCGTTTGCGAAACACTCCCAAGGGTGTCACCGAGTGGGGTCTGGAGGAGTGTGTTTTCCATCACCACCTGAAGCTTACACAAATACACGCACACGTAGACAGTTACTAACCAGGGTGTTGATGAGTGCGTCTTTGTCATCGAGTTGTGTTTGCAGGAGTGTGTGTTGCTTGCGCAGCTCCTCCACCTCCTCTCTGAGCTGAGTCAGCTCTTCTGTCTGCAGCCCGTTCACCTGAGAGACGTCTCCCTGGCTGTTAGACTGACTCTGGTTCTCCTTACCTGAAGGTGGAACCACACACACACACACACACACACACACACACACACACACACACACACACACACACACACTCCTCAAATGTGAAGACTCAAAACTGGACTGTGAGTTGAATGTTGATGTTACATCTCTATTGATCATCATAAGGTATGTTTACATGTGCATAGTGCAAAAGCAGCTACAGGTCGTGTAAGTCTAAATGCATGACCATAAATCTCTCAGATATGTCATGGTGGACTCAGAGTTACTACAGAGAAACAAGAAAACCGCATGAGCCGTCAGACAGCTCAACCAGCCTGGTGGACATTTCTGGTGCATTCACTCTTATTTTCATTTCCCAATAAGTGGTTTACATAATATAGTTGAACTGTTGGCTTGTTTAAATGGATATTTTAGGACATGTGCTTAATCGCTTTTTTGGATGGAAGCAGGCTTCCTCCAGAGTTTAAAAAAAACACGCGGCCAGTACCTGTAATCTCACAAATTAACATGTGGTATTCTGTTTGTTTAATCTGTAAACAAAGAACAATGTAAAACATGACAATTTGAGGTTTTAAAGAGAATAACTCGCTGTAACTGTTTGCCAAGAGATAGTTGGAACATGAAACTTCTCTAAAACCACAAACTGTTTCTGATTGTAAAAGAAAGTGAATAAGCTTATTTCCCAAAATACTGAGCTGTTCCTTTAAAACCTCTTCGATCGTGTGTGTGTGTGTGTGTGTGTGTGTGTGTGTGTGTGTGTGTGTGTGTGTGTGTGTGTGGTTGCCTCATGTGCTCTGTTGTAAAACTGTATCTGCTATCTAGAGATATCGCTGCATATCACTGTCGCTCCATATCTCAGGGATGAGGTAATAAAATGTAACTAACTATTAAAAACAAGGGTCAGACTGTTAATATATATAGGTGTCCTTTAGCACATTTACTACACATAACATTTGCTAAATCAAACCCATACATGACTTTCAAAGTAATCCTCTCCATTCATAACTTACACTGGTTCATGTTTTAAAAAAAGCAAAAAAAAAAACAGAAATGTACAACTTCTTCTTCAACTCCTATTCTTTCTGGAGGACACAACAAGCAGCTGTGAGGTGAACCCACCTAATTTTAGCTTCAGGATGTTGTACTGGTCTTTGTGCTGCTGGATCTGGGACAGCTGCTGAGTGATCGTAGCTTGCTTCTGTTCGTTCTGAGAAGTCATAGATGCTACCTGCTCTTTGAGTTCCTGGATCTGAGAATCCTGAAGATCACACAGTTAAAGCAGCACAGTCAACAGGACAGCACATCGAATACAAATGACATCAAATGCACACAAATTAAAAACAAACCACATGTAGAACTTAAAATGGCACTTCTACTACTTAGCTCTTTGCCTGTGTATAAGTGTGTAAGTGTGGATGAGTCTGCTCACCTGTTCTCTGATCAGCTCTTTGTACTGAGTTACAATGTTGTCATGTTGCTCTAATGTCTTCTTCACCTCCTCTTCCTTTTTCTCCTCCTCGCTGGATTTGTGAACTGCTTTCGTGATGACACCTGGGTAGAGTAGAGGGTAAAGATTATTCTTAAAACCTCATGAAAACTGTCAACTGTAATAAGAAAGGTATCGTCACTGGCAGACAAAAAAAAAAAATGTCTCTGACTGACCCTCTAGTTCTTTGACCAGCTTGGTGAACTCATGGTCAAACAGCATTTGCTCTGGAGACGGGAAGACAGGCTGCGGCTTCTGGGCCGCCCGCGAGTACAGCTCATGCTTGGTGATGAAGCCGAGTTTCTCTACAAAGTTTTCCTTTCCAATGCGCTTCTCGATCAGCTGCTTTAGTTTCTCTCTGAGGGCGACAGAGGGGACAGGGGAAGTCTTAAAAGTCACAAATGGTAGATGAAAACAGAAGCTCAGTTCGCTTCATCTTCATCAGGCTAGGGCACGAAGAACCCCCTGGTTAACATTTCTGCAAGACACACCTGATTACTTCTCACCATATACACATTTATAACTGTAAACAAACTGTGGGTGCACACTAATTGCACAAAAAGGGCTCAGGCCAGGAAAAACATTCCTGTAGTAACAAAGTAGAGACTGAAGTGAGATGAAAGGTCACTACTTGTAGCCGTCTGTCTTCACCATAGAATTCAATTAAAACTGACTGAAATACAAATCTCTTGTAACAACACGACTAGTGACACACTGAATGAGTCGGTTTCCTCAGCAGGTTTTTTGTTTGATTCAAACACACATCACAAGATGAAACTGTGCTTTTCCTCTACAGAGTCTCAGTTTCAAATCAGTGATCAAAAACAAGTCAGGTAGACCTGTCATCTGAACGGCACACCAACACAACATCGTTTGATTGACATGTAGTACTGTGCAAAGGTTTTGGTGAGGATGCTTTAATTAATCAATTAACTTTATACAAAGTGCAGTGAGCAGAAAAATCTAATTCAAATCAATATTTTGTGTGACCAGCCTTCGCCTTTAAAAAAGCACCAGTGCAAATGGCAGGGGATGTATCCCTGCATCAGCAAAGCAAAGCAAGGAAAGGAAAACTGTACTGATCCAACTATTATAAGCTGTAAAGCATAACAACAGCAAGTGCTAAAGAATGACTTTCCCACTAAAAGAACCACACTGTCACTTTACTAAATACATCATATATCAAATGGAAACATTATTCACAATGTGAATCTCTCATCCACGATTAATTGACAACTCGCTTTACCACCTGAGCCACAGCTGCACATATCAACTAAAATACACTTAAAATATACCAATGCTGCTCCAATATATGTCTGTGGATAGGGGAGAAATCTGATTAATTAACAGCATGGACACTAGGTTTGTAAACTCATCACACAACAAGAACTGATTTGATTTATTATAATATTCTGAAACACTACACATTCACCCTCTGTGTAGCAAAACAAAGTGTGTGAACTGGGTCAAAGACGCTTACTTGGTGTAGTTCTCCAGTGAGTTGTCGTTGTAATAGATGCAGATGCCGAGAAGCAGCGCACACAGGCCCTGAACCAGCCTTTCATCCTCTCCCAGGTTCTCTGAGATCTGAGCCGTCAGCTGCAGGAGGCAGCAAGTCAAGGATTCATTCAACACTTGCATGTACTGTACGTTTCCCTTAGGGATGGGTTCCTAAGGGGTCTGGTTTCAAGTTTGTAAGTTGGTATCAGAATTTCTAAAGCTTGTAATGGCACCGACAGGTGGCTTGTGAGCTGCCTCAAGGATACAAAGGGAACGTTTTCCTGATTGTGTAGAAAGTGTGTGACAGCAATCGGACAGTTGCTGATCCACGTGCACAGCAGCATGAGGAGGCCCACCCTCGTCTGTACTTTACTGCCCTGTAGAGCAAAACATCAACAACAGGTCAACATATGCATCTGAAATGAGAGGAAAAAAAAAAACCTGCTGACGAGAATCCTATGAAGACCAAATATGTCATTATAGAGATATTAAAACATCTCGAGTTTAGATAATGAAGAACCAGATGTTACATGTGGAAGTTTATGTACATCATAGCACATGTTCATAACCAGTATCAGAATGGCACCCAATATTATGATGTATTAGAATTTTAATTCTTGTCGTAAACTTTTAGATTAAGTCCAGATTGGAAGATCAATTAAGCAATAGTTTTTGTAATTTCTTTAAAGAGCAAGTTTTAATTGGCATTTGCTGAGTGTGCAACAAGAAAGAAATCCAACAAAATGAATGCCAATGTTTTGTTGAACGGCGCAGATAAAATGGCAACAAAAGTTGATTTTGTTAGGACAATATTTATGCAACACTTCTGATGGGCCAAGTGCAACTCAACAAAAAATACTGACAAAGTAAATCACTCCACGTTAATCTGAAGCACCTCAATCACATCAATCATTAGTAGTTAATAACACAAACAAAAGACTAGCACACATTTAGAATTAATACATTCAGTATATTCAAACAAGGTTTCGTTCCCCAGAGCATGCAGTTCTGTCACAGGAAATCAACGTCTTTCAAGCCTAAAAAAACACTTTACATTCAACCATCGGGTATTCCTCAAATTCACAATTTTCTAGTATTTTGTGGTTTCTAATTTTCATTCTGCAAATAATTGATGATCAAAACATTCTGAAACTGCTATTGAAATGCTATTGTTTCCAGCTTTAAGCACATGCAAAGCAAAAGCCATTAAATGTGCTTTTTGATAATGAAAAAGGAACTGTAATAATAATTAAAAAATTTTAAAAAGTGATATAAAGGTGATCATGCATTTCCATGAAAACAGCTTTGAGAAGCATGTAGGAGGTTTAAGATCTACAACAGACCTCAACCTGGATGTTCTTCCTCTTTAGAAAAGTTGAGTTCCAATGGATATTTATAGGAAACTTTTGCCAGTTTTGAAAAATTAATCTCAATCAACAGTAGAAAAAGAAAGGATGATTTTCATGGAGCTGGAATGTAAATTGAAAAATCAGTAGAGATTTAAACACAGTGCAGAGATGAGCAGAATCTGTACACTCTACACTGTAGCTGTTATAAGCTGGTGCATTAACACTTAATGCACAACATGCTTTAAGAAGCGCAGACCTCTTTCCTGTAGTGAAACAAAAGATGCCAAAACCGACAAAGTATGGAGCTCTGAGCGATGACAGTGTGGGTAAAAACTTATCAGCATTCCATACAGCAAAAACTTACGAAATCACCTTTTCAGATTTTGTCTCCAAATTTGACGTAATGCAAAAATGAAGAAGAAAACAAAAAGAAAGGAAAATGACCACAAGTATTAATTGAACAAACACAGGTCCCTTCTCTGTGTCTGCGTGAGCGACTGTGGTTAAAACCACAGAAGAATTGTCCCTCCCTTCAAACTGAAAACCACCATGACGCAACATTCACACATTATTTTAACCTTGACCACAGTCTTGTCAACCCTGGGGGCTCAAACAGGAAGGTATCACAGGCAGGTGTTGAGGTGGGGGCAATCCAAATGTATTGCACTGGTCCAACTGGTCACCTACCGGTTGGACGTGTGTGGAATACCTTCACAGTCCAGTGTCCAGAAGGCAACCTGTTCAGAACCGGTGTGCAAAACCAATTGCTGCTGCTTGCATCTACAGTCTCTTTGTTACAAATCATTAAACCCCGAGTTAGTGACCACAAGTGAGAGCTGGAATGAAGATTTACTGGTAAATCAAGAGCTCTGCCTTCAGGCTCAGCTCCTTCCACACTGCAGCAGTTCAGTGAAAATGCCACGCCAGTTCACGGATCATTCTCTCGCTCCATCTTACCCTCACTAGTAAATAACACCCTGTTGACTCATCTGAATACCCAATAATTAGAGCTCACCATTTTCTAACAAGAGACACTTAGCTTGTGTCTTGCCGTGATTTCCATGGAAAGAAGAACACATATGCTCACAGCGTAAGTAGTTTGTCATCAAGAACAAAAATCAGTTTTACCTCATTGATATGCAAATGTATGCAGCAAAGCAAGTCTAAATTATCCACTCCATATGAGGTACCTGTGATGAAGTCTCTACTATGTTTTGTTTTTGAGTTTTCATCAGTGCCAATCAGTTTCTTCCTAATTACTCCAAGTGGCTCATTATTATCAAAGATTTTTTACACTTTTATGCCACATATCTGGTATCATTAGAACGTGTCAACTTAAAGTGTTAAGGAGTTCGAGCAATTTCTGGGAATTCAGTGTTCCTTCATTCATATTAGGGCTGAACAATCAATCGAAATATAATTAATTATCAAAATTGCATTATGACCAAGTGTAATATGGAAATCACAGGAGCTGCAATTTTGTGATAAAGGTAAAATGTGACACAACATAGCATTATAAATTATAAAGCCCTAATTCATATGCAAATATATGCAGCAAGGTGCAAAATCTAATCCGATCATCTACTCCATATGGATTACCTGTGATGAAAGTATGAACTTTTCTACTATGTATCGTTCTTGAGTTATTGTGTCTGTATAGTAACAGAGTCACAGACGCCAGCATGACGACATAATGCGCCACGGTGGCGAGACATACAGACGAGAGGCAGAGGCTCACCGAGGGCAGCAAACGTTATTCTCCACTGTCTCCCACAAACTCCTCTGACACAGACGTTTTTGTTTGTATAACTGCAGAAGCTGCAGTCCCTCAGCCTTTCCTGTACCCATCTGCTGATTCAGGTGTCTCTTCATCCGTCTTCAACAAGACTTCTTATTTCTTCTTTGCTGCCATTGTCAGATATTCGGAGTTAAACTTCATTGCACATTTGGGTTTACCAGGTCTGTCCAACAGCTTCCCCCCAACACTTAATCCAGTTTACCATGAGGTTGACAGCGTCCTTCTTTTCTTCATCTGATTACTCAACAAAAAAATTAATTATTGATCTTTAGCCTATGGTGTTCAGGTACCAGGTGAACTTATCCACTGTCTCATTCACTGATTATAGTCCATGTCTGGTAATTAAAACACAAAGCACCAGTCGTGTCATTACAGAACCTACGATCAGACCCAGTGGGCCTGATACCCCAAACTGCTCGTCACTGCCGAGGCACAGGCAACACTCCCCCACAAAACAGAGTTACAGAGTGGACCCTCTAATTCACCTTGAACTCATCTTAAGTATCCCCCTAACTCACTCAGTGCCTCTCATCCTCGGCAACTCCTTACCACCACACAGCTGGCCAATCATGGAGTGAAGAGGGTGTCAATGCCAGATTGTTAGTTTCAGAAAGGTACAGAAATGATTAGACACTGATCCCCTTATCTGATGTCGGAGAGGTGTGGGGGGAGGGAGGTTCCGACGTTAACTGATCCTCCGAAAAACAGTTTGGAAGGAGCATAAAGCTACTTACTTACTCAGACCGCTTAACCAGCAGAAAGTGGCATTCCACGACCCAAGGTGCGTTCATCAAGATCTCACTCGCCTGCTTCGTCAGTAGGCATTACGCCAGACCCCTACACTTAAACCGGATGCTGGCCCCCCCTCGTTCCTTCTTCTGGATTTAATTAGCAAAGTAACGTGTACCAGGGAGAGGGGCACAGTTTTCCAGATGCAACTCACCTGAGACCAAGATAGCTAAAAGCAAGGAGTTTGTCAACCAATAACCAGGAGTTTAACCAGGAAAGTGCACATACTGTAAGTTCATGCAATTTAGCAGACTGCCATTCATCACATTGCAGAAATCTACAATGGGAAGAAAACAGAAGAATGGCAACTCCAAGGGATGCATTAATTTAAACTAAGAAACTGCCAGGAGAACCAGGAGGGTCGGTTAAGCATGGCTGAATAATGTCAGCCTTCATTTCAACACTGAACATTAAAAACCTATTTTAGAACCCTATGAACCCACAGTGAAAACTGATTCACCCTCTCCTAAGTATAAAGTTTAACCACATTTGTAAGCAGGTACATGTAAATAAGAACTTGGACAGGAAAAGGCACGAAAGCCGCTGCAGCACAAAACTTCCTGAACAGACAGAAAACGCTTTGCAGCACGACAAACGGTCCGAAGTCAGAGCTCAAAGCAGGCGTTAGGATGATATCAACCGAGATACTGCTGTGTCCCTTTCTTCTGAACCTCTTTTGGGTGTCCACTTGTGTACTTCCCCACACTCCACCAGTGAACAGTGAGAGCAACTAGGGCTTCCAAGTCTGTGGGGAAGAGTGCAACCATGCGCCACCCTTATGAGGAAGAAGGAGGGGTAGTAAAGAGTTAAAGGGAAGTAAGACCCCCCAACACGTGGGCCATCAAGACCCCTACTACAGATGCCAAGCCAAAATATTCAGGACAGGTGCCGCCCAAACATTTAAAAAAAAAAAAAAAAAAAAAAACACACACGCAGACACAGTACACACACACTTTACTCACCCGCCGGATGATCTTATCTCCCTGCAAAACCACAATAATGTGACACTGTTCTGTTCACTGTTGTTGACACTTGAGTATGTTTTTACACAAAGCTATGCTACCCACACACGCATGACCTATCAGCATCCGCTTCATTCAAGCAGCATCATTTTCACTGTCCTACCTGGGAGAGGATGTTGGTGCACTGCTGCAGCAGCGAGACGGGGGGTTTGCCCAGGCTGGTGGCGAGTTGAACCCTCAGCAGCTGCTCCTTCTGGGTGAGGTTGTCCTGCAGGGCGTGCGCCAAGGCCACAGCCGCACACCAGTTGGACAGAGAGTCTGCAGAGAACAGGCCTCCGCACAGCAGCTGGCCCGCTGAGATGGAGTTGGCTGCGGAAAAAGTGAGCGAGTTCATAAAGTTGAAGGTATCAGGCAGAATAAACAACAGTCCATTTACGATTGTGATAATATGCAAAACCTTTAACAAAGATTAGACTGTTCAGGAATATCGAGTCCCATTCAGCTCCAGGCCTGACTCTGTAAACCTTTGGAGAAAGTAAAAACTGCACCAATTTGGCAGCAAACTTTTTTTTTTTTTTTTTTTTTTGCAAATTAGGCTTCACTGACAAGTAATTAGAGCTAAACTGAGATAGTTTGGGTTCCTTGCAAAAAATGTTCAAATACCATATACAGGCACGGTATACTTCTTCACCAATAAACACGGCAACAAGTCCCTGGATTTGTAAGTCTTATAAATGTCTCACATAATATCACTGCTCTAAATATAGATGAGGATGTGTTCTGGGTAATCAATACAGATAAATTGGGAAAGCCTTTTCACTTGAGTCTAATTGGTCACGTTATTTAAAAAGAAAAAACACTCCACTTGTGTGTTAAATGCTCATCATACAGTGATGCTATTTTCTATCATAGATTTTCATCCTGTAGATGAGTCTGTGAGTGTTTTGCTGAATCCATAAAACAATTACTGGGGAAAACTATAAACCTACATTAGTTTTGTTTTACAGTTAGGAACAGCAGCGCCTTTCATTCCTCAGCGTAAACTTCTAATCGCTCAAAGTGGGAATAGGAGGCTTCAAGATTACCCAGGTTTTTCCCTCAGAGCAGAAGCAGTATTTTTATCACAAGTAAAATGTTGATTGCTATTGCTACGATTGATTCTGAGATGTGCAAACTGTCTACAAACCCGAGAACACTATAGCACAACAACTGAAGGCCACTTATGAAACTCTAAACTCGGTGTAACTGACCATCGATGGTTGAGGGCAGCAGCGTCGCCACTATCTCCCCCTGGCCTTTCTGGTTTTTGTAGAGGAAACACTGGAAACAGTAGAGGACAGCACAGCGAAGCACAAATGGTTGTCTCTCATTCACCATGGACATGAGCAGGACCACGATGGCCGGTCTATGGAGAGATGAGGAAGAGAGGAAGTGGGGTCATTAGCTCGATTTCCTTTCAGATGGGTATGGGAGATTTAATATCCTGGCTCTCTGGTTGTTGTCTTACCTTGGTGGGTTTGAAGGAGCATTGACAGAAGCAAAGTAGTCCTGGTTGACCTGTGAGCCCCTGATAACCTCTGATACAGTGTTGATGGTCTGAAAGACAGCGGCCAGATCACAAGCTTGAACACAGTTTGCTTTAATGTAGCCAGGCCTGAGTGAGCAACTGTTCTCTGTATTGGGTTTATCATTATTATTATTATTATTATGATCACCTCAGTGAGGATGTCAGCAGGCACACCAGTGGCCATGAGGATGGTGCACAACTGCTGCAGCAGGCCGCACTGGTACATGGACTTTTGACAGCTGGCTGTAGCTCCAGGAGAGTTTACTGGAGACACCATGACTCGCACCAGCTGGGATTAGGAACAGAAAACTGATCAGCGTGATGAACTGATAATCTGGAGATTTGTGCAACAGCTCGAAATGACGGTCCCGGGTTACCTGCAGCATGAGGTGGAGGTTGGTGACCTTTTGCGCAGACCAGCCAGAGTTATCGTCACCGACCTCGAACCAGGGCTTCATTCTCTGGATGTAGGAGCCCTCCTTGAAGAAGTTCTGGTTGGAGCTGTTGTTCTTTAGCAGGTTGAGCAGCAGCAGCAAACAGTCCTCCACCACAATACCTGCACACAGGGAGGAGGACCGTTCAGGTCAGGATATAAATCGCAGCAACATCAACAACAATCTAACCATTTTATTCTACTTTGAAGACCATAGGTTTATCTACAACAATTTTTACCTCCGTCGCTGCTGCCCTCTTCTGTGATGATATCTAGCAGACGCTCAAATGCGTTCTCAAAGGCCACTATTTTCTGAATGGCAGCATTTCCTTTAGTCAACTGCTGAAGCAACAGCAAGCCCTGTGGGAAGGTGGAACACAGGTTGTCATGTATCTCCTGAAAGTTTGGTTGCTGCGGTATTACACTGATATTTAACTGTCATGATGTAAAGACCTGAACAGGCTTTCATATGTGGTTTAGTACAAAGCTTAAACAGAAGAAAAAAAGAACTCACATCATTACGAATTACTTCTCTAGAGTCTGCCAATAGGTCCATCAATCTGGAAACACCTATGAAAGGAAAAAAATGTTTCTCAGGAAAATAAGAGGCTCAAGAAAAGACATGCAGAGATGTGATTATAAAAACTGAAGGTGCAGGTACAGAGCGGATAAACTCACCCATGGGGCTGACCAGAATGACGCCCTGGAGCTGGACACCCTGGTTCTTGAGGAGAGCAGTCAACAGCTTCACCCCAGGCCAACGCACATGGAAGTCAAACTCCTAAAATCACAAAACCACATGAATACATTGATGGGCAGCTGCTTAGACAAATGTGATAACACAGATGTCTTGCCACGGGAGTAGACACAATTCAGTACCTCCAACAGAGTGAGCAGAAGGGTCACGTGCTCAGGGTCCTGGATGAACTTGTCTGTAAACAGGGCACCCAGGTCATCTGCCTGTTTCTGGGCGTTCTCATCTGCGAAAAGGGGGGGATCAACAGCTGAAATCAGAAATACAGCAGGAGACGTCTCTCTACTGAGGGGACCAGGGGGTTTGTTCATAGCAATCAGCCTGAGTTAGACAGCAGTCAATATTGGACCTGAAACTTCTCACAATCTTGCAAGATGGTGTGAAATCAATGTTGGTTTTCTGCTGTTAAACAATGAAGCTACAACAAATATGTGAATCTGTCCAATAAATGCACACATGCTCAGGGTGACACTTGTGAACACGCCTACTGGGGGGAAAAAAAGGGGTGACACACAGATGATGGGAGGGTGAATTTACTATGATGAAGTTACTATGATGAGGATTCTACTGTGACACAGAGGAATAAACATTTAATGTGGGATGAACTGAGAGCTTTAGTAAGACAAGGGTATTTCCTCTTTAAGGGTTTGTTACAACAAACTACAAAACAACATATTTTCTCATTCACCTCTGGTGTCATCAAGCAATGCAGGTAGTTTCAGATTTATTGACCCATGTTTTGATATAATCCATCTCTAAGGCCCCATTTGGACGGTTTTTATTCTCCTCGTGGGGTGATTTTAAAACTGCCTGAGCTGGTCAGTGACTTTAATCTTATCCGGGACGTGTATGTAGGTCATTTTTCACCCTCTCCCCTGTAATAGCTACAGCTGAAATTACTTTTTCAGTGAACTCGCTGGTCGTCCTGTAATTAAAATCCCTACAGGAGCCACGTCCATGTATTTTAAAATGGATCTCTCAGTTTTCTCAGCTGGAAGATTTTCTCTCCTTCATTTACCAGCTCAATGTAAAATTCAGCTTCTGTGGTAAAATGGTGATGTTAATCCTGTCCACACTGAGTGTAAGATTTCTACTTCCACCCCAGAATAATGAAGATGAACAGAACTTTTTTGGAAAATTACATTTAAGGCTGCAACATGTTTACATTAACAATGGATCAGATGACTGTGTGTAATGTGAAAGGGATGAACCCACAGAGAAACATCCCCTGACTCTAAAGTTTCCCTCAGATCTACAAAACTCTTTAGCACCTTTCAGCTCACTGTTTTGGATCACTCTCATCGGTTTTATTTCTAGTTACAGCAGGCAGCTGTTTTCACCCATGTGTGTGTTGGATATGCAAATAAGCAACTTTTTGCTAACATGTTCACTATTAAAAATTTTATAATGTAGCCAAAAATATCAGTTCATGTAGATTTTCTTAAACCAACAGCAACATCTGGTGTTATCAACAACGTCTCTGTTACTGTAAATAACCCACTGATCACAACCCTTGTGGAAATGAAACAAACTATCTGCATTGTTAGATACATTCAGAGGAAGATGAGGAAATATGTTTTTTGTCATTTGGGTAAACTGCTACATACTGAAGACACACACAAAAAAACAACTCAATAATTAAAGTGTAAAATTTCATCACAGCAGTGCAAAAACAATCAGGTATTAAAATGTGAGGAAAACTAAGGAACAAAAAGAAAAGACTTATTAAGAGACAGAAGCTGGAGCATGTGATGGCATTAGTGAAGCATTCTTGTTACCACCAAAACATCTTCCAGTCATTTGATTGCTGATTTTAGTTACGTTAGTTTTCTAGTAGTACTCTAACTACTGCACATTTGGCTTAGTTTCAGTACTGACCAGGCACGGAAACATTCTTATGCTTCCCTGAGACAGGGAGAGGGGTTACTGCGTCTGTGAGGGCAGGGGGGGGAAGAGGAAGTTTAAAGCTCACCCGAAAGCTAGCACTCATTCAACCACTCTGAAGAAGTGTAGAAAATGACCTGCCTTGATTCTCATGAAGACAGGCTAATAACAACAACCAAAACACAGCCAGATTGTTTTCAATCTGGATACTGCAGGAGGTATAAAAAAGAATAATGTGCTGCTTTTCCACATCCCAACCAAGAAGAACCTATGATTTGTGAGTGCTGCTTGCTGGCTGTTAGGGGGGGGGGGGGGGCATCATGCACAGACAAAGAGTTTTACCTTCTGATTCATCTGTAGGGTTAAAACATGGAAGAGAAAAGAGAGACGAGAACCTTTACATGAAGCACTCATTATCAGTGTATAGAAAAGGGGTGTGCAAACTGACGCATGAACTGAACTCATTTTACACATGCAAACAAAACAACGGCTCAGTCATTCAAGAGTATTTACAGGAGACACATAATTCATTCAATTTAAGGTGAATTTCGTAATTTATGATAATTATGGGAGGGTTTAATACCTTGCTCTTCCTCCTCATCATTGCAGATGATGTTATACAGTGTGTCCAAAGCATAGCCGAGGATTTCAGAGTCAGACCTGAAACATAGATTTCATTGTCAATAGATCTGGAGTCCAACAAAACACACCTACTACAAATTACTTTATAATAATAGGCACAAAGCGCCCAACATGACAGATACCAGACCGAACAAAAACACAAACATTACATGAACAGACCTGTCAGTTTGCAATATGTTAATCAAGTGATCCATCGCCTGTGTGCCAACTTCCATGCGATATTTCTACAACAGATAAAAGGCAAAGCAACGTTTAATTTTATATTACCTGTCAATAACAAGGCAATTAAAAGCAAAAGAAAAGAAAAACAAGGCAATATTAACACACACATATAAATATGACAATATGAGGGTAAAATAAAATAAAACATAAAAATAAGCTAAAACTGTTAAAACAGAGGCGAACAAAAGCTACAAGGCAGCTACAGTGCAGTGCAGGATATGAATGAAATAAATCATTGCATCAGAGAACCGTTAAGTTTTAACTTTAAAGATCCATTGCTGTTTTTTTTAGGTTTCTCCTCATACATGTTGCATGAAAACTGAATTCTGCTGTTCCATGTTCAGATTTGACCTGAGGACAGCTAGCAGACATGTCCTGGATGGCCTGAGAGATCTGGACAGTTAATGACACTGCAGCATATCATAAATATAAACCATTCACTGCTTTACAATCCAATAGATGCATTTTTAATAATAATCATAAGATCAATCGACAAAAGCATTTTGTGCAGACAAAGAAAATTAACAATGGTGAACTTTATAGTGTTTTTCTTGTAACATACAGGAAGTCTGCACATCTATCTCTGTGTTCCTGACCAGCGCTGACACCCTTGCTTGTTAATGTGCAACCCTGTGCCTCCTAAGTCCCTTATTCATGCCTGATAAACTCATTACTCATGGTTGATGGGGCAGTCAGTGACAAAACTGAAAGTGAACAGAACTGAGAGGTGACTTGGTCAATGCCTATGCCAATGATTAGTTCATTTTAATCAGCAGAGTCTGACAAACAAGACCTTTATCTATGACCCCTATTATTGGTTGTTGATGTTACATAAAAAACAATGTGACAGCGGAGGAAACATTGGAAACAAATGTCTCCATTAATTTACATAACAATACAGTCCAGGGCAACAGGGATTAAACTCCACTGCAGATTTCTCCTTGCCGACAGCTGCTCTCTACCAACAAACTCCATCATACATTCACAGCTTATGGTTTATTATGTCCACCTAGATAAAACATGCAATCATGTAACGCAATCAAATACAGTAACCCAGCAACAAATCACCACCTTTGAAATAATAATAATGATAATTTGAATTATAATATTCAGTTTTCAATCAAACTGGTTTTTATAAAGACAGGTGTTATTAGAAACACCCCTCAGTAAAACCCAACACTAGCCAGCCAGTGACACTACAAACTCCAAAATGATCATGAAATTAAACAACACCTCTCTATAACAGTTTCATCAAAAGCTGAACATTATGACTTCCGTGAATAAAGGACTGTTGAATTAGACTGTATGGGTTTTCACTTTGTGTACCTAATAAACTAGCAAGTGAGTGTATTCCTACTGCACCTCTTTCCATCAACTGTCTTCTGATGCTTTACCTTAGAGAGGGACTTAAGTGCCCGGACAGCATCTCTGCGGTCTTCTAGGAGCGTTGAGGAGGCCACCCTGTCACACAGCTTCTGGATCTGTCAATACAGATATCATCATTACTTTTTTGTTCATAACTCTGCCTCATTTACATGTATATATGCATATGTCTTTTTTGAGAGAGCGATGACATGAAAATTTAACACACAGTTACGCTGATGAGGAATGTATTGCCAATTCTGCAGGAATGACAAGCTACATCTCTAAACAGCCAAAACAGGAATGTCTAAAGACAAAGATCTGATTATGTGTCTCTGACCCTCCTGTAATGCCAGGAAAGTCCTGCAAACAAATACATCACATGTAGAAGGTGTTGATTGTTTTAGTATTGACGTTCCATAGGATTATACCTTGTGAGGATTCTCAGCTTGTATTAATTTAATAACGCTGTAAATTGGACATATTTATGGTGAAGGACATGGTGATGAGAATTTTCACTATTTTCTGACACAGTTTGACTAAAATTGAAGAATAATCGTTACTGAAAACAATCATTAGCTGCAACCATACATGACATGTAGACTGTATACTATCAAAAACGAAGGCCTATTTTCTATGTATTTCCTTTCCTATTATTATCCCTCATGGTCGAAATGAGCATATTTGAATTCTTCATTGTTTAAAGTATTGTAGTGAAATGTTGAGTGAGCGATTGCAGGTTGACACTCAAAACAATCCTCACTTTTCTTTCATTATTTTTTCCACTCATCACTGCTACGTGCAGAAATACAGTAGATAAGTCATGGACAGACCCACAGCTGCTGAATGACAGATCTGCTACGTTAGCTAATTAGCCTTCTGACTAGCTCGCTGTTGTCACTTATTAAGGCATGGCCCGGTGTCTTAATCAATCTATGTGTTTTTTTGGAAGAAAACACTAATCAACCTTCAGTACAAAACACATTTATTTCTTGGTGAGCCTCAGTGTGTCGCATACACGGTGGTGAAATCGAAGCTAACTGCAGCTAGCCGCAGCTAGCCGGGCTGGTCTCCTACCGTCTCCGCTCCGGACGGCTGCGGCCCGGCTGCCTGCCCGCCGATCACTCCTCTGAAGAAGTTCATCTTTACAGACGTCCTCTCTGTGCCGTATTCAAAGCGTCTCTCCTTCTAAAGAAACCCTCAGACCCCACTCTCCGCGCTCCGTGTGATAAATATGTGAAAAGAGAAGAAAAATGTACACAATGATGATTTTTTTGACACTGTGTACACTGACTGACCGACCCCGGAACACAACTGTGGCTGCACTGCGCCTGCGCGCAAACGTGGCGATACGTGGCTGATCAGCAGTCAGTGAAGGCATCATTTAAAGGGCAAGAAGAAAACTAATTCATTACACTGTGTGAAAGGCACAACATACAGAGAATAAAAGAGAACAATTAATTCAGCTCATCATTTTGTAAAAGATAATATAAGAGCAGTAGTGAAGGAACTATTCAGGCCATTTACTTAAATGAAAGTGTTAATATAACTATACAATAACACGTTCTACATCAGACATATAGAAATATAATATAAAAAAATTCAGACAGACACACACAGACGCAAGACACCCAGACTGAAATATGTTTATGGTTGTTTTGTGTCTCTTAGTCTGTCTTTGTCATTTTGCATTTTTTTGTAGTGAGTTTGTGTCTCTTTGTGGTTGTGTTGTATCTATTTGTACTCATTTGACTGATATTCCAACAATCAGTGTTAACAGTCACTTCATATAAAAGCTCTGGCCCAGGCCGACTGGGATTACAGGGAACTCTGTAATCCATCCATAGCAAAATATACTGAATCATCAAAAGTTAAAGTGTTCATTGTATAACAGAGTGGCTTCTGTTAGTGTTTTGTTATATTACTAGAATCTTACTGATGCATAAACATATAAGAAGTATTTTAATGTTATAAGTGGTTGGGGTAATTTTTACAGTGTTGTATCTGGTGTTTGCCAAAACTGGATTACCAACCAGACAAAAAGTGGACAGCAGCCTTGGGGCCCTAGAGCCTGTGATTCCTGAACAGTTGGTTTGTTACCATTTAACTAAGTGCAAATCGGTCAACTGAGTGATTTTTACATAATATTGCAACACTAGTATTGAGGTCCTATGTATAGTGTTAAGACCTTTATTAATTCAGTTGACGTCTGCTTACATAGAACACTTTTCAAAAAGTTTGAGTGTAATCACAACACCAGGGATGAACTTGACACTGCGCATACCTGGGGACGAATAGTAGGTTTCTAAGCAAAATATATTGAAGCTGCCATGTGTATTCTCTGTGAGCAATGCACAAGATGAACACGTGAAGGTTGCTGAGTAACTAAGTGCGCATAAAGTGGAAGGAACAGTGAATCAGTGAAGGCCCCCTGGTGGGTCATTCCAGCCATGCTGTTTGACAGTTTAACCTGTAACATTGTATGGTAAAAAGTATATTTCCCTCTGAAACACTCAAATTAAGAACAAGAATGCTAAAATTAAGTACAGTACTTGACTAAATGTAATTATTTCCTACCTATGTAATACGATACAAACAGACTTACAGACAGTGTAATTTTATATATTATTTTGACTGTTCAATTGCAATTGCACACTATCTGCAAGTTTTATTCAAATTGTCTGAGCAATTCTTTCAAGGAAATTACTCTGGTGATCAACACCTGTTTAAAAACACAAGACAACTAACTAAGCTTTACAATAACTGTTTCACACCTGTGTCTCTACTAAAATGAAGTATCACCTTTTTATTTGCAAACACGAAGGTCTAAATGCTGCTTCAAACACTGCAAGAGATAAAAAAAAAAACCCTGTGAAAATAGTGTATTTAAAGTTTAAACCCCTCATCTTCCACACTTACCTTTTGCAGCAGCTGGTTTTCTCCAAGCTCCTAAATGATTCTTGGATCTATTTCATCAAAGTTTCATCAAAGCAGCATCAGTGCAACAGGAAATCAAAGACACCCCCTCTTGGCTCAAAGGCCTGATGTTACATCAAGAGAAACATCATCTGAAGAGGACAGTGACAGAGACTGAAGAGATGCCGGAGGTGCCATTGAACAGGAGTGATTCACTCCTTTAAACATCCACTGGTGCATATTGTAAACATGTACTTGTCTATTAAACATTCATACTAATGCTACAGAGTTCTGCAGTGTTCAAAACTTCTTAAGACTTTTTAGTGCCGCAGAAAAGGCAATTCAATACTTATTTCAGTCATAGCAGTTAAAGGATGACAGACAACCAGTGGGAACATAAAGGCCTACAGTTATTTATCAAGTATGTGACTTTTACATCACATTTTGTCAACACATCCCTGATCATTTTAATATGACCTGGACATAGACAAAATTATGAAGCATCAGAAACTAATTGATAGATTAACCAATTAAAAATATTTACTTGACGTTTTTGAGTATTTCCAAAAATTGATACTTGTCCATTATGAGTCTGAGTTTCAGTCAGCAGTTTAAAGATGTGTAACGTCTCCTGACAACCCACAACCACATATAAAAAATATGCAAACATAGCTCATGTCTACAAGACAGGAAAAAATATTCCAAGACTTTTGTAAATGAAGTTCAAGACTTATACTTTCTACGGTCTTTTTTGAGGCACCTGAATTAAATGCGTTGGAAGACATGGAAGACTTCTCAAGATGCACAGAGACCCTAATTTTCAGCTTAAGGGTGTTTTTAAAACTTTTGTTATGCAAACAAAAGGTGTAAACTCCTACAAAATAAAATTCAGGCTAAAACCAAAACCTCTCATGTGCATAATATTTGGGACAAAAACAAATACATTTTCTCAGCCTGCATCAACAGCTTTAGTGGCCAAATCTTCAGTCTTTTGCAGTGAGACAGACACCACAGTCGAGAGGATCTCCTTTATGCCACAAGCCTGGGGCAAAGCTAATGTTCTACTAGTGTTTTGGAAAGCTTGAACATGCAACAAGATTTCTTATGGAGTAACCTGTAAACAGGACAAACATATTAGTGGTGCTGATATCAGTAGTTTATTGTATGTTAAGTCCAACACATTCAAAATGGAAAGGAAAAAAAAAACAAAACAAAAAAAACAAAACAAAACAAAAAAACAAACTAAAAACAAAACAAAAAAACAAAAAAAAAAAACAAACAAAAAGAGACTCTCCACCTGCAACAGTTTTGAACTAGCAACAAGTAAAGGGTAAACACAGTAAAATTAAGATGGCAGCCAACTGTTTACCACACCTGCTAAAGCCAAGAAGGTACTTCTATTTCCATTCAAAAAAAGGACTGGAATGATTCACAATGAGGATCCACTCTACTGCATTTTCAACCACAGGAAAATAAATTTACAGCTTTTTTTCCTCCTCTTGCTTCTGCTTTTGAGGATCCTTTTAAGTTTGGAAAAGGGTGGGTTTCAGTGAAAAAGAAGAACTATCCAACCGTAAATTTAATATGCTCAAACATTTTTACCACCACTATGATGTAAAAGCACAAGATTGGTCTGAAAGCATGATGGCTCTTCTTCACCACTTTCTTCATTGACCATTGCTGCAGAAAGTATGATTGCAGCTAAGTGCACATTAAGCAGTTATCTTGTAAATAAACATTTGGGGTGGATGCACCCATGAGAACTGTTTAAAAACACTCGAAGGGCTAGAATTTTTCTCTAATATTGTGTCAAAGGCTGATGATAACAAATCAAGAGTCTTTCTATTGAAAACTATTCTCACATCTGAAAATATTCAATCCCAAACTACAAAGGAGAGCAGCCAAAAACTACATTAAATATGCCGGGTCTGTACATCAAATCTTGTTTTTTTTTTTTTTTGTTGTTTTTTTTTTTAATGTTGGTTCTTTTCTCGTTTCCAGGTGAGGAATTTGGAGAGAGGTTGTGTTCAGATTGTCCCAGAAACGTTGGAAATAGTGCAATACCACCAGACAAGGAAGACCTCATTAGTATGTTTGTCGAGAAAATGCTACATCAAATTTCACTTCCCATTTCAGTGCAAGATAATAACAAAAACAAAAGATAACATCTCACGTGTCATGTTTTCCTTTCCAGCTGAAACCAAAGGTCTTCCCTCCCTACCGAGTGGTAAAAACAAAATATGCTAGTGGACAAGAAGAAGCCGACTAGTAAGGCATCAGATTAGACTTGCCTTGAATGGAAAAATAAATGAATAAAAATAAGCACAATGAATAATCAGCATATGAAAATACAAATGCATAAATGGCTAGAAAAGTGAGCATAATTATTTGCTTGTGTGTAGGCTGGAGCTGCGGCCAGCCCACCTACACAGATCATTACAAAATTGTTGCTGAGAAAAGAACAGTCTGACAACTTGTGAGTCCAGGAATTAACCCAAGTGCTGCCATGAGTTGCAAAAACTATGGTCAGACTGAAAGTAAGGATCAGCATTGTCTGAATCACATTTACTCTTTCCAAAATGCCAAGGTCAGTTCACTGAAATCGTGGTTGTGTTGAGCTATGACTCGTTAAACCAAGGACCAAGCATTTCACTGTCACCAACTTTTTAATGTACCTTTTTGGGGAGTAGTTCTTCAGATGCACCTCTAACCATTTAACATCGAACAGAACTCGAGGCACCTATTGTCTCTACAAAACCCAGAACAGACACAATACAAAACAAATGTACAAAACTCACAGCAGATCATCTTAGGTAGTAAAACAGTATGGAAAAATGAAATATGCACCTGAAAAAACTTAAATCTTGTGAATACTGCAAGTTTTTTTTTAATCTGCTCCCAGTAGACAATAGTTCAAAATGAGCAGCTCCGTATATATTAGGAGGCGGCAAGCCCCGAACCGCTTTACGCTTTAGTAAGACTGGAAAAGGTGAAATAGAAGGCACCATCATGCTTTTATCAAGTCGAAAGAGAAATGAAAAAATATACACAAAACAAAACATACAGTAAACTATGATCTTTGCTGTACATTTATTCTGTTACTCCGTACTTAAGACAGGAAGGGAGGGAAGTGGGAGGGAGGTGTCGTCCATCCCAGTTTCACGGTCTAGCTGGCAGGGAAAAACATGAAGAAAAACAAACTTGGAATCCAAAGAAAAACAGAGCGAGCCGCCATCATTACCACCACTCTTCTATTGTTCAACTTTGTTTCTTGTTTATCCTCTGTCCCCACTCATTTGGTGAAAGTCCAGGATTTGAGCTGTTTTTTTTTTTTTTATTTGACTTATAAACGAGGAAAAATATAATGCAGATTTGCTTGTCATCTTGTCCATCCAGCAGTAATTGAAGCGTAGTTTTGGGTCAAAAGTGTGAAAAGTTCATTGGTCACAGCAGACGTGCTGTGAGCGAGGCCTGCCCCGGTAAGTCGTATCGCTTTGAGACAAAAGAGGTCTCTCCAGCTGCGTTCCGAGCATGGATGTCAATGTAACACGACAAAAGTACCCATTAGTGCATATTGATGAGTGCATTATGCAATTTTGAAGCAGTGGTCTCTCAAAAGGAAAAAAGTAAAAGGCAAGCTTTTCCCCTGGAACTGCACAAATTTTGCATCTCACTCTTTTCCAACAGTAACGGGCAGAAAACTACCATATAAAATGTGCAATAGAGGGATTTCGTGAAGCAGCGCCCCAGTTAAGTCAAGGCATATAATCTCTTTTCCAAATGATGGGCTGTATTATCGTAGTTAAAAGTCTCATCAGTCCCTCCTAATGTGGCAGATTACTCCTGGTTGGTTTGCCTTTTTTCACGAATTTACAAATTAAAGTTTGTGAATTCTTGAGATACCCGAAAAGGATGCTCAGCTCACAACTAATAAGCGAAATTTTTTGTTTGCGCATTTTGTTTTGTCTATTTCACAAACAAATGGTTGACAGGCTGTGTCACATTCCAAAGCAAAGAGGGAACAAAAATAAAAAAATAAACAAAAAACAAATATATACGTTTATACATGAAGATTTCTTTTCGTTAACGAGAACGGTTGAAGATGAAGAACACGGTACTACTTCCACACTGCAGGTGGTGCCCTCCTCAGCGGCGCTGGGTTGTGAAGCGACCCTCTCCTTGCCCACCAGAGCCTCTTCCAGAGCCCATGCCAGGTTTGGGGGCCATGCCACCTCGAGGTGGGGGTCCTCTCCCGTCACGCTCACGCATCATTCCACTTCCCACAATGCCTCGTGAACCTCCAGGGCCCCGGTCGTTGCGCCTCATGTCCCGACGTTCGTCTCCTCCACCACGGGTCTCTCGTTCACGCACCGCCCTCGTCTTCTTCTCCTCCACATTCAGACGCACCTCGCCTCGAAACATGATGGGCTGCAAGAAGAAAAGCAACGTCACTACAGGAGAAACAAGATCTGAATATTTCCCTGCCAATTTCACAACCCATATCATTCACTGGTTTGCACACACAGGTTTGTTCAACTGTACTGGAACCTTCATAAGTGCTGCTCTGTGTCCCACTGGTCTGACCTGACCAGTTCTGTGTCCCTGCCAGTGAAACAATTTAATCTCCAAGACTGCATTCAGACCGACAGTAGCCCCGTGTGAAAACACAACCTCTTTCATTATAATGAAGTGAGTCTGGTGTTGACAGCTCCGTCAAAAAAAGATTAAACTTTTGCCGAAACATCATACAGGAAGGCCGTGTTCAGACGGACTACAAACGGCGTGAACAAACACAGCTGCCTCATTAATTTGAATGGTACCCCCAATGAGCCAACAGCTTCCTCACGGTTGTTGTGACAAAAGACAAAATTGCCACGGTGGCAATTTTACAAAGTTGTAAAATCTGAGAATTATTCACTACTGTGCAGTTTTATGCCTCATGAATCTTCAAATTCACACATCTATTACTCAAACTGGTCTTCCCAGCTTGTATTTCATGTCTCATTGACAAAGAAACATGCCCCCACCAATGCAGCTCTTGCATTGTTTTAACACAGCTCTGTTTTCAGTCTGAACCCCTGCTTATGTTCAGTCATTCACATATCAAACATCAGGTTTTTATGGGGCATTTACTTACTGGATATTGATAGATAGGATTTCTATAGACCTCTATAGTGTCATGAGATTAATGCAGCCTTGTTCCCACCACGGATGATTTATGAAGAAGAAAAAAAAAAAAAAAAATCAGGGTTGTTCAATTACAGTTGATCCAAGTGTGACTATGATGGGCGATCAATTAAGTACAAGGCAATGTTCCAGGTAGATCATTATTGTTGGTCTGAATACAGCCTTGGGTACTCTGTTTACATGCTTTACTTTCTGTTTACATGCTTTATTTGCTATTGACATGACAACAGTAAACATTCTATATTATAAAAAGACAATGTCTTTAGGCATTTCACATCTAGTAGGGGCTAATTCAAACTGAGCAGGGGAGTGAAATCAAATCAACTCAAACTGTCAAATTAACTGTAGAAATGTGTGTCACCAAACCACCACCAAATGAATGAAAGTGGGTAATGAAATGTTAATACATGCCCCTTCTACCTTGGCACCCAAGATTCTTTGCACCGGATCAGAGTCATCGAAGACCACAAAGCCAAAGTTGGGCAGTTTCCCACCAACGCCCTTGGTGTTGATCCGCAGCTCCACCACATTTCCATATGCTGTGACAAGAAAAGAAGATATTGTGTAACTAAACTTTCATTCAACATCAAAACACAGCTTTGGGTGTTTTTTGTTCTTTTTACACAAAATGGAAAATATATCCACAAAGTGTTGCTTTTGGGGGAAACGTACTCATGAAGAACTCTTTGAGCTCGCTCTCGTCAATGTCATGTGGGAGGTTGCCAACAAAAAGCTGGTGGCTGTCTGGGTACCGGACAATCCGCCTGCTGTCCATGTCACCAGATTCGGCATCTCCCCTGCCACCTGCAACAGGCAGAAAAACACATCAGCTCTGCTGACATGAGTCGTCTGCATCAACATCCAAGTAAATTTTCATAAGTAAGTAAAATTCTTGGCATTTGCCACTTACAAGAAGACAATGTGTGAATATTATGCAATAACTCATTAAAGTTATTATGACACCAGACTATAAAGTGATTCAGATTTAAACAGTTATAATTACCTTTGTTAACAAAACTCAAGTGAGGTTTCCCCGTTTGTGACTCAGAAGATGCAACACCATCTAATAGTGACAGAGACATGCAGACAGTAAGAATGAACCAAAGTAAAAGCTCCAAAGAAACATACCAACTGATAAATCCTATATTGGTGGAAACAGTGTTGGCATTACCAGGTCTGGGACCCCGCGGAGCGAAGGCCGGTCTGTCACGCGTGCGCTGGTCTCTGGGCCGAAGAGGTGCTGTCTGTGTCTCCGGCTTGGCTTCAACTCTGGGCTGTGTGGGGGACGGGTGTCAAAAAATAAATCAATAAAACATGAAATGAACAACACATCCCTTTCATTATCACAGATCATGGTACTCCAGAGGATCAGATAAAGGTAGCCCATCTGAGTCAATTATCTGTGCTCGTGTCCAACACTTTGTACACTGCTCATTTCTTAGGGCAGTTAAAACAGATAACTTCTTTTTCCCCTTTGATTTACTTTGGTCTTTTTGGAAGCAATTTTATTTTTATTATCAAATCATAAAACTTCAGCTCTTTCCAAAAGTTTCAAAAAGTGAACATCATTACATGTAAAAAGGGAACTCCAAAACATTATATTTTCCTCTAAATATGGACCAATATACCACACTTATAGGATGGGGCCTGCTCATGCCCTGCTTCACCATTCTTAGGCTTCAGCCATCAATTTGAGCTAATTTTTGCTCGAGTCTCTCTCTTTTTTTACTAAAATTTGAGGCCGTCTGTATGTTCTACAATAGTGAAGCATGCCTATATTGCCAGTCAGTCTCAACTGCTGTACAGTCAATCTGCTCGTGAGATACACTTGATGAAAGGAAACATATGTACTTGTAGAGACATTGGCTTTTTGGCACCACAACATGTTTCCAGAAAAGCCAACTCTATCTGTTACATGTGGAGACTGTATTTCCCCTATTTAAAGGCTGTTGGGCTGTCAGAAAAGAGCAAATGCCCCAAACACTGCACAGAGGTGCTCATCACTCACTTTTCACAATCTACTCCTGATGTTAACCACCATCTCATTTAAAATGCAATGCATGTTTGAGAGAAACAGTTGAAAACATTGTGCTAGACTCTGGCATAGTGACCCATTTGTAATGGTTAGGGTTAGTGACAGATTTTTGTTCATTTTATAATTAAATTTAAACACAAATTTCATGTGCAGCGGTAGGTGTTTACCTGTGAGCTTGGCGCTTTTACAACATGGGGGGAGATTCCAGAGGAGGTGACTGTGCCGCTAGGAGGCAGGTTTTTACTGGTCACCAAGGCCCAGGAGAAAGTCTGTGAGGGATGCAGTAATGCATCGTTAGGATTGCAACAGTATCCAATTTACCACTATTCTACATTATCAGTGGGTGTATCATTGAGCAGAGCTATTAGGTCTGTGCATCACAAAATGATGACAATCTAAAAAACTCAAGACTGAAATGCATTAATTATTATTTTCTACAAAATCTTAAATAATATGGAATAAAATTAAGTGTTCATGTGTGGGAATAAACCTTGATCACGATGCTCAAAGTCCATGCCAGGCACAGCTTCTAATTTTTACATAAACCTTTGAATTTACTTGTGTTGATTTTATTCAAGACTGTACAATTAAAAACCTTTTAACATAATACATACATTTAAGGAGAGTCATACATGTAGTTCAGTTTATAGGTGCAAAGAGTCAGTGAACTCAGATTAGAATCACCACTGGTAATCTTACTTAGGTAAAAGAAAAGTAAGCCACATAAAAACACATTTGTCTTACCTTGGGAGGCTCCTGGGTGTTTGGTGGGGACTCCACAGGAACCGGTGAAGGTGCTTTCTCCTCCATCTCTTCCAGAACCTTCTCATCTACTTCAGGCTTGATCTCTTCTACTTTGGGGTCTGGTTCGGGCTCCGGCTCTGGTTCTGGAGCTGGCTCCTCCATGGGCTCCTCTACTCCATTACTGCAGAGCACAAATAAGCATATTGTCACTTCCACAGATAAAGTTTCAAGGGCAAAATCTGTCATACTAGATTTACAAAGTAAAAAGGGGAACACATTTCAATACATCAAGGTTATGACTATGTTTTGACATACGTGACAGGGTGAGGCTCGTAATAGGTGGTGCTGTTGGGGCTTTCCTGAAGTGGCTCAGGGGAGGGCTGCCTCTCCTCTGGCTCCTCTTCAACCTCTTCCTCTGATTCTAAGTGAGAGAAAACAAATCAACAAATTGAGAAATTACATGCATAAACACTCCCACTTAAAACCATGAACATATGAACTGAAAACCCCCAAGTAAAAACCATGGTTTCCATCTGGTATTTGTCAACATCATACCCTCATCAAGCTCAGCTTCAGAGTCTCCAAAAACCTCGTCCTCGTAACGGAAGATGTCATTGTGGACATAGAACTTGTTTGCCACTGAACCCTAAGGAAAACAAATGTGTCATGCGAAAAGAAAAAAAAAAAAAAAAATTTAGTTTTCAAGGATTCCCAAAAAAATAAAAAAAAAAAAAAAAAAAAAAAAAAAACACAAAGCCATCAACATATTAAATTTGGACAATTTTGAAATGTATTTTTTGGCACAGTGGAACAAATACATATTGTCCTCTTTTTTCCGGAGTAATTTCATTAAAGCAACAACAGCTCCCATTATCTGCTCTAAATAAAAATGTTCAAATTTCTTACCCTCAGTTTATAGTTTAGCAATCATTCTCAGGTAATTATGAGTACTGTTGTCATAACTCCACCTGTTTATGGCACAGAAAGGGAGAAGTACTCACCTCCGGAGCAAGCACAAAGGTTTGCATGAACTTCCTCATGGGCTGACCATTGTTTGACAGTTCTCCAAGGACTTGCACCACCACCCCATCGCTCAGTGTGGCGTGGGCATCAACATGCCTGATCTTTGTGTGGCATTCACTAAACTGCAGGGACATGACCTTCTTGTGGATTTCCTGAGAGAGCAGATACAAGTGGATAGCCAAATGAATTTTATATAAACACATATGTGTATGTAAAAATATGAATAGGACAAATTTGTCAATACCCACAAACATCATCTTAAAAAAGGTTTTTCCTGTTTGGAGCCAAGTCTGTTTTTCTCAGAATTTGCAATTAATGAATTATGACAACTATGGTTCAGGTCTCTGTTGACTGGATCGTTTGATTCCAAACCAAAAACAGCTTGGACCTATGTTTTTAAAAGGACACTTGTACTTTTGTTGCCATGTTACAATCAATATTATAAATTCTCTTATAACTAATATAAAATCTCTTTGTCTTAGCATAAATCTGATCCCAATTTTCTTCAAGGTTTATAAACAACATTGAATCATCATTTTGGTCAAAGACAATCGACACAAATAATATGGTATCAACAGAAGTAATATGGAAATAAGACTGCTAGAAAAACAGTAGGAAGATTTATATGTTGTAACTATTGTTTCCTCAAACTTTGAGTCCTTCCTAAAATGCTGCCAATTATTTTTTTATGCTATGATGTATTCAGTTATGTAAATGTATTATTTATATGTCTGACCTGGTACCAGAAATTGTTATAATGCGTTTTTAAAGTGAATCTTCATTATTGGCCCATAGCACATACCGCTTGCCCGTACACTGCTTCTGCCAGCTTCCCACTTGGGTCAAGTCCTCCATGAACATAGGAAGAGTTCCTCCCATAAAACCTAAAGGCACAAAAATATGACAGTTATAGAGCATTAGCAACACTTACAGATTTATTGTCTACAACATCAGGAATCAGAAATTACCTGTGCAAGAAATCTGGTGCCTTGTTTAAGAGTGTGTAATACTGCCTCACAAACTCCCGCCCTACAAGCAGGGGACTTGGCTTCTCCATCACCATTTCTTTGGTAAACAATATTAAGTGCTGAAACACAAGACAAACCATGATTTAGCTGTAAAGATGTCTAGAAAATACAAGTTAACACATGTATGAACACACAATCAACTGGCAGTTTATTTGGTACATTTGAGTAAAATAATTCAATAAATCCTGCCATCAACAAGGTTTTATGTTTAATTTGTTAAAAATGTTTTAGGAGAAATGTTGATTAAACTTTATGCACATCAGTTTGTGGTGCTGGTGAATTACGTGAAAGGCATGTGTAATATTTCAATATGACTACATCACCACAAACTACCTGGAGTATCAAAAATTAAAATACCGGTTAAGCGACACCTGTTTAAAGCAGTCATTTGAACAATTTGACTTTCACAATGCTTTGGTCTGTTGAAAGGCTGTTATATTCAACTGCATTAGTTTTCACTTGAAGTAGCTAATAAAGTGGCATCTGAGAAAATGAAACAATGACTTTGAAAATTAAGCTTATATTCAGTTACACCAGTACAGAATTGATTAGAATTGATTGATTGAAGGAAAGCCCTATTGGTACTCGTTTATTGTGCCTCATGTAAATAATATAGATGTGCCACCAAGTATAAATGGTGAATTGAGGAGTTTCCTTGTGACAGAACGTTTCACTTTCTTTGTCTCATTGGGCCCATGGTTCATCTGACCCACATCAGTCCCACATCAGTCCTATGGCAGAGGCAAGACAGCTGACTGTTTAGCTCGCTGGCTAACACACTAGCTCACATCCAACTGCGCCATCACGTCCATCCAATGAGACAAAGAGGGAACCCGGTTGTAGAAAAAAGAAAAAAAAGAAAAAGGGAAGCGACTGATGCAGCGGTTCAAACGAGGCATCGTGGAAAACGAACTTTACTACAATTAAAACCCTACTTGTAAAACTATACATAACATAGATCTGATACACACATATGAGCATGGCTTTGTAGATAAGTGGCCTACTTTATGAGGCCTTTCATGTCGATGCTAACAACAATTTGCCACTTCTCACATTTTTCGCATGTTCATTAGCGAAATGAGATGACAGATTCATAATTTGCATCATAATAACCTGTTATACAGATTTCAGGAGCACTGTGTACCTATACTGTCAGTCAGGTCAACGTTATCCAGACTGTAAAAACAACTGGGGGGATATTAATGCTAATCTACCGGCCTCTTCGCACATTGCTAGTTAGCTCGCTAACATTAGCTGTAGCTAACTTGTGGCGTCGTCGTTTTTCCTTCAGCCGGCAGTCAGTTTTACACCAAGCGGGAGCGGTACATTTCATGCAAACGTGTTTGGCGTTGTCGGTAAACGCAGATAAAAGGATAGCTGACATGATGTTAGAATTCTTTCAGACAAACAACTCGCACGCTTGTTGCAAGCAAGGAAAACCATCAAGCCGACCTGACGATAAGGCATTTGATAGCCATTGTAGTGCATCAATAAAGTTATGTCCATAAAATGTTAGAGAGCCTTCACATTTGACAACATCAACTCCTTATTTGTAATGGGTTGTATCTTTACTGTTAAAAAAACGTAAGCAATATTTAGCACAGTTAAACTTTAAAATAAAATCACCCACAACTTACACTGACTGTCGACCCATTATCAATGAAACAAGTTCAATGCTATGCTAGCTAAAAGAAAACAAAAGAAGGAAGATCTGACACATTTGATTGATTCTCACACATTTTAACTACATATCTAATGTGTACTATTTGCACAGTAGCGACACACCTAGCTGGCAACTTTGACAGGTCACTGGCTGTCTATCGAGCAGTCGTGGTTTTGAGTAGACAATGCAGCTAACATTAGCTGGTACGGTTAGCTTAGTTGTCAGCCGTCTCATAGCTGACTTTGCTTGGAGGATGGCTAACTTACCTTATGAAAGACCTATCTATGTAGACAGAATTATTTGTAATAAATAACCGGCTGTAAACTGCTCTGAAATACAGAGTATCCCAGGTGAAATGTTGTAATATTTCCCCCGTTCCACTCCCTGACAGTTAATGATCTCTGCTGTACCAGAGATTGAAGATTTAAAGTGATAGGGTAGATTTATTGTTTTACCCCTGCAATCTGGGGCAGGGAACCCCCATCACAAGCACTCAGCCAATGGACTGTTTACACTGGGCAACATAAATTATGACGTCGGCAACATACCCGCCCCCAAGACTTTCTACTACACTGTAAAATGAGACTGCCCTAAAATTTTAGATTAAGTTAAAAAAAAAAAAAAAAACCTGTCTTACTTTGGTTTGTTAATTTATTGAACAGCTGGGGTAGTTGTTTGAACTCATCATTTCACCTTCATTAAAATGGTCTGTTGAGGAAACGTTTGTCTTGTTTAAACGATTTAAATCCAACAATTTATTTAACTCATTTGGTAGCTCTTTGAGAGTAAACATCCTTTTTAAAATGTCTTATTGACATTTTGGTTCTTCATTAAATCTGAACCTGAAGAACCTGCAGCTGCAAATGGTGGATTGCTGCCTTTGGACTGGGAGGGAGTTTTTACCTCAAGTGAAGCTATACATATCTTGAGGTCCTGATGAGAGTGAGAGTATAAGCAGGCACTGTAGTGATTGAAAGAGTTCAGAATCCAGAGGGAGCTTGGAGTAGAGCAACTGCTCCTTCATGTCGAAAAGGAGCCAGTTGAGGTGGTTCAGACATCTGATCAGGATGCCTCCTGGTCTTGGGTGCTTTCCACTGGAGGTTCTCTGGGCACACCAAAGACCCGGGGTTGGCACTCTTTTGACACACTGGAAAGACTATATATCGCTGTTTTCATAATTATGAAAAGAAACAACAATCACTTATCTCTACATGTATAAAAGACACAACAAGTTTCTATCACATCTGTTTTCACAAAAAACAAAATAAACAAAAAAGAAGAGTCTCTGGAGAGATCAGGACTCAACACATGCTGGGAAGCCTGCTAATATGCTAGTTTGTGTCCTTAAAGGTTATGTAAATTAAATGTTAAACAATAATATAGCAGCAATGGAGGCCGGAGATGTGGCCGACAAAGCTCTCAGCTATACATTGATTCATTGAACTAATTATTTCAAGTCAAAAGATCTCAAGTTACAACTCATGTTTATACATTTTGTGGTCTGAAAAACAATCAAACAAACAAACTAGGAATTATTAACTTTCCAATTAACTTTTATTTGCATTAAGTTAACTAGATTAGTTGATTCCACTATATTCCTGAATAATTTTTTATAGGCCTACATAAATATTAAAAAGACTCAACAATGATACAGTCACATTGACATAGTACTCAGTATTATTCACCTGAGCCTTTTTCGCTCACCTATAACTTTGAAATATTTCATGCTACAAATACAGTTTTTATGATGATTTATTGATTGTGTCATTTTAGTTTTCATACATTTTGCAAACATCTGCATGTTGAATGAGATATTCTTGAAAAAATAGGGCACTTACATACAAGGAATGTGGCACTACTCTAGTGGCAGCCAGTTCTTATCTAATCTTGCATCTTATTACACAGCATTTTAGAATTCCCACCTGACTTGCACTAATGTACAGTGTATTATGACATATTATTATCATTGTACAGTGTATAGTAACACATAGTATAGTCTAGCTTTAGACTCTATTCTATCTTTACTTTATTCTGTTTTTGTATATTGTTGTCTCTGGTTCTGGAGGAGCTTTCTAATGTATACAATAATAACCTTGATGCTTTGATTTTGGCCACTCTTTTGTCTTAAAACAATAGTCAGATGCCTGTATGACCATTGACGTTTTGAATGCTGTAATCATTCCCACCGTTTGTAGTGGCCATTAAGAGATCCCTTCCTAATGTGCTTTCAATGTAAGTGATGAGGAACAAAATCCTTCATCCTTGTTCTGAATAAAAATATATTCAGAAGTTCATTTTTTCACCGCTATCATGACTTAAATTCTACACCTTTTATGTCACTATCAAGTGAAGACAAGACATGAAGACAGCCATACTGTAATTTATGTTTTAATTAGCTATGAAGTGTAGTATTGAATGTCCAGTTAGTATTTTTTTTTTTAGAATAGAATATCAAATAAGTAAATTCCAAAGAAAAGAAATTTAAGTATAACGCAAATCATTTCGTGATGACAACTCTGTTTTTCCCATCTTGTGAATCAAGAATACAGGACATGGATATCAAAATAAATGTCACAAATGCAGTTTTGAGTATTCAGTGTCAAAAACTGTCATAACATTTCAACATGATAATCAATTAATAGCCATAAAGTGTTAATGGCCAGAAGCAAAAGTATGCCAAGCTCTGCCAAATTTATTAAACTAAGTCACGAATGAATGGTCATTAGTTCTTTGTGTTACACCTCCTTCAGGTCAGCTGCATAGACTTGTTCTAGACTGACAAATGTAAGGAATTAATCAGTCATAAAGTGAAATATAGCTCTTCTTCATAAAACTGGCCCTCAAAATGTCCATTTAACCTATATGTGGGAATTGCTTTTATGTTTCAGTGTCTGGCAGATTTCTGCAATATAAAAAAAAACAGTTATGCAGCAAAACCTGTGCATCATCGACTTGTTAACTATGCATTAAATGTTGTGTCAAACAATAATTGTGCTTTGATACAAGTTTAGACAAATTTAACAAGTTTGATTCATCCTTCAGGTTCTAATTGTCTTGTCATTGTTATAGGTGTATTGGCTTTAATAAATCTGGATTCTGAGCACCACCAAGTGGTCAAACAAGGGCCCATGTCTTTCACTTAAGTGAAGCAGACAATTTATGCACCATCAGTTTGCTCAGAGATAGATAGAAATATTTTTAACAATATCTAATTAGATTTGAAAAACAAACAAACAAAAAAAAATTCAATTTGAAAAGCATGACAGAAAAAAATAAAATCATACTCATAGATCTAATTTAAAAGACACAAGATGACCTTAATGAAGGACAAAATTACCATAAAGAAACACAAAACAACCACAAAGAGACCTAGAATGACTACAAAGATATCAAAAATAACCACAAGAAGACACAAACTAACTGCACAGACACACAAAATGACAATAAAGAAGTGGAAAAAGGTCTACAAAAAATGCTAAATGACAAAAAAGTGACGGAAAACAAAATCAGAAATACAAAAGGATTACAAAAACATATTTTTTCAGTTTTGGGGGTCATATGAAGGCGGTATGGGGCCTTTTACCTGTCCATGTGTGAAACACTTTCAACAGCCTTGTTGTTGCAAAGTGTCTTGTTGTCATAGCAACCGCTGACCGAAACATCCAGAGATTATGTAACTAACGTATGTATTCATTTAAATACTGTTTTAAATATTTCTAGGCAAATGCATATTAGGTTAAAAGGCTTTTGATAAAAGCTTTTAAAGACAAACTAATACTTTGGGGAATTGAGTTCTGATGTTTACAAATCAGCAAAAACAATCCCAAACCAGTCCAGCATTTACAAGATGTAAATTCAAACCGTAAATTTTTGAAAACGTTTAATAAAAACGATACAATTGATATTTCTATGAAGAAAAATGTTTTCGTCTGAGGTTTTTTTTTTTTTTTTTTTTTTTTTTTTTTTTTTTTTTTTTTTTTTTTTTTTTTTTTTACATATTTTACTGCGACGCCATGACTTCTAATGTAATCTGAGTCCCGAACAACTCAGAGTGAGAGTTTTTGGGGGAACAGTGCAGGAACAAGATGGCTGGCTTGGGACGAGAAAAGTATCTTTCTTCTTCCACTTAACACTTAACTTTTTGACGCGCTCGTTAATTTCATGTAAATACTATAACGTCTAACAACTTTAACCGCTTTAAAGGCATCGTATAACAGCAACGGAAATCGTTTATCGAGACGCATTACAAGCTTGATGTTATCTTAAGGAATGTTTTTTGACGGTTTGGTGAGGGTGAAACTAACTACTAACGTTGGTTTTAAAGACCAGGATAGCGTTAATTAAATATATCTATTGTGACTTTTACATATTGTATAACGTTTTATGTATGTAGGTTGTTTAGTTAGTTAACTTAGCTAACTTTTCTAATCTGTCTGTTTTTGGTTTATAGGCGTTTAACGGTTGAGTATCTCCAAAGCGAAAATGCTTGAAAGGCTTCAGTCGTTATAAACGGTTACCACAGATTTTTGGAAAACACTGAACTTTCCAGATGCCCCACACCAGATAAAAATAATACCTAACTGGACCATGAGTTCATCCCGAGTCAGACCTCAGCAGCTACCGCAGAGCCAGACTGGCAGGTTGCCGCATAGACTCGACTCCAGCGAGGGGATAGAGATGGAGAACATCCAGCATCAAGACCTGGGTCTCGGAGGAGTCATAGGCACCCCGTCCCCTCCATCGAGACAAGCATGGAGCAGAGATAACCCGGGTTTTGAGCCAGAGGATGAGATTATGGAAGCCGACTGGCCCCCAGCGAGTCCAGGAAGGAGGTCGGTGTCCACGGCCTCCAGCAGCAGCTGCAGCAGCGGTCTGGGCAGCTACAACGGCGGGGGCAGCGGCACCCACATCCCCCGAGGAGGACTGTACCCGACCCCTACTGTGGATGCCCAGCAGCAGGAAAGGCATGAGCACCCCAGCTGTATGAAGCAGATACTCCACAAAATCAGAAGTTAGTCAATCTCTTTATGTCTAATAAAAGTAATTTTATTGTGACGTTGAAGTCTTACATTTAAAAGTTGATTAATTCTCTACAGATCAGTGATAGTCGTGAACATGTCTAAATAAAATGAAATTTAGGGTTGCCAGGCTGTAAAGTTTATCACCTAAGTGTTTTCACTGCACAGTGAGACACCTTGTTTGTATTTACTTATGTGACTCATTAAAAATAATATTTTTTAAATATACTTTTAAGTTGCTTAAGTAAGATCAGAATAAGCTAAGGTCTCTGATACTTCTAATATTGACATATTTGGGAATCTCCAGTGTTTCCATTGCACTCCTGCTCTTTCAAGCTCCATAATCCACAATATAAAGCAGAACATATTTTACTGTTTTATTTAGTATATGTATTTGTGTAATTAACTTTCCCAATACACTGTACATATGCTGATGTCCCCTTGAATTGTTGTTTCCTTTGCAGTTCTGTGGGGCACAGAGTTGATGGAGGACAGTGACAGCAGTCGAGAAAGATATCTCAGGAACATACTGAGGGAGATGCTCACATATATCGCATTCCTCATCACTATTTGTATCTGTAAGTAAATACTCAACAGCAAGATGACACAAGATTTGTGCATAAAGTTTGAAAATCATTAATCTGTATTTAAGTAGCTGTCAGCTTCACTGTTGTGGAATCAGGTTTCTGCCAGTTCTTTTCTTCCATCTAAACTGAAGTGAATGTTCAGGTCATTTGCAACAGTAATTCACATGGAAGAAAAGTGCTAGTATGTGTGCTACAAGACCCTGCTACTGCCCGCCACACCTTCGTGTTAATGACAACTGTCTCCTATCTGAACATGTTATCTCCACTGCACCAAGCACCAAACATCAGCTGTCTTCCAATTCCATCCTACATTTTAATTTAAAGCATGTCTTGGATATGCTGTAAGTATGATTTTTGAGTCTAATATTGATGTACTAATGTGCTTCACAGTGCAAAACACAAATATGATACAAGGGCCACTCAAAGATGGAAACATGCTGTAGACTTTCTCTTCCTTCAGACAGTAGTACAAATCCAGATGATGCTCCATCTTATTTATTTATAAGCATATGGGACGTCCCTTACTCTTAATTTTCCATCAAAACATGTGGCCAAATCATTCTCTGTTAGGATCTGTGGTAATAACAATCTTTAGATAGAGAAGATGTCCACAATGGGTACATCATTACATTTCCATAAAGAAATTGCGTGTGCCCAGGAAATCAGTCCTGGACCAAACTGAACTGACAAGTGATACTGGTGACTCATAGAAAGCTCTTTAATATGTGGCACCAAATATGCCTGGGCACCTTTCCTTTTGCTGAAAAGTTATTTTCCAAACTCTCAGTGCATGCTTAATGGTTTTGGCAGCTGAACATCTCATCTCTTATACTTGTCCGGGGGCTTAAATTCCAACAGCACAAATTTGAGGGCCGTATTTTGAATTGGCGAAAATCACTAAAATGTGTGTGAAGATAAAACTAATGGTAAAGTTTCTCTACTCTCATTTCTCTTCTGCAATGAAAAATGCCAAACTGTGGTTTAGGGTGGATCAGGAAATGATTTCCTGGCAGACTGGATTAAGACATATTCTGCCAGGCAGAGCTTGACTATTAAAAGTAGTTTCCAGAGCTACTCCCTAATGAATACTGTATGCTACAGGGAGTACTAATGCACAGGTGAGACTACTGAAATTGAATTTAATCTCATTGGATGAAAACAGCACATTATTCAGCTTCCACACAGTGTTAATTCTCCTGTTTTTATCTGAATGTGGCTGTTGTTATTGTAGCTGGTGTTAGTATGAATATTACATTGTACATACTAATGGTCATGTTGTACTGTGATTTGCTTTGCAGTGACTTATGGGATGGTGAGTGCCAATATGTACTACTATACCAAAGTCATGTCTCAGCTTTTCCTGGACACACCACTGTCTTCTGGAGACCCTTCCACTTTTAGGCACCTCTCAACAATGGAGGATTTCTGGAAGGTAAAATGAAACACTAATCTCTTTTGTTAGAATAACTAAAATGTAGTTTTATTTTAGCTGTAATTTTTATTTACTGTGGTCTTGTTTGTGGCTCTGAAGGTCAAATGCACAGCTTATATTTAAAGGAATAGTTTGCTGTATTGGGAAATGTTGTTATTTGTTCTCTTTCTTAACTCAGCATTAAAACTGGAAGTCTTAAATTGACTAAATCTGACAACAGTCACTTAATAAGTGAGTGTAGGAGGTGCATTGTAGGTTGATTTTTCTTACCTTCACACAGACTGCTTCAGCTGTGTCCTGTTTTTGGTCTATGCCACACTAAATGTTTCAGGAAATGCAGTTCACAAAGGTTCAAATACACGGGAAGCTCCACAGCCATCAAGCAAACTGAAGATAAAACAATGCAGACAATCAGCAAGTCAAAATAGTAGAAATATTGCACTGAGAAAAATATAAAAGTTTAATATCTATAGCTCCTAAACACATCCATGGCAAGATTATAGCAGGATCATTGTATTACATAAGAAATCACCAAAAACTGTGATTTAATAGAAACTAAGATATCCACAATATCTTAGGTGGTTTTGTAGGTGCCAAACAAAGAGCTAATTTAAGTCAAAAAAAGCCAAAACCCTGACTGTCCTAAACTTATAGTTCACAGAGGGGCCTTTCCTTAATGGCATGTACTGGGAAGTATGGTACAACAACAAGAGCCTGCCAGAGAATCAGAGTCTCATCTACTACGAGAACCTCCTCCTTGGTGTGCCACGCCTTCGACAGCTCAAAGTCCGCAATGAGTCCTGCTCCATTCATGAAGATCTGAGAGATGAGGTTCAGGACTGCTACAACATGTACACCCCAACCAACGAGGACACTACCTCCTTTGGCCTCAAGAATGGAACTGCGTATGTTCATGCATTTAATTAGATTTAAATTAAAAAATGTATAAAACTTTTTAATTAGATAGTTTTAGATTTAGAAATCAGTGCAAACTTATAAATGACCAGTGCAAACAGAGTGCATTTTCTTACTTCTCAGTGAAGTTACAAAACAACTGTTGTAGTATCAGTTTCAAACGAATGTCTACATCCTAATTTCTTCTTCTTGGTGTGTCTCAGGTGGGTCTATACAACAGAGAGTGAGATGAATGGCAGCAGTTATTCAGGTCAGGTATCTAAATATGGAGGTGGAGGATACTACCAAGATCTGTCACGTACGAAACAGGAGTCAGCAATCCAACTACAGTTTCTCAAAGACCACCTGTGGCTGGACAGGGGCACCAGAGCAGTCTTTCTGGACTTCTCCGTCTATAATGGAAACATCAACCTCTTCTGCATTGCTAGGTTAGAATCATCAGTCATCATTCTATGTCAAAACAAGTCAAGTCAACTTTCATTGTTATTTATATAACCCAATATCACAGGTCACAAATTTGCTTTACAGTCTATACAGCATATGAAACCCTCTTTCCATAGACCTCCGATTTGGATGAGGAAAAAACCCTAAAAAGAAACATTCAACTGGGGAAAGTGTAATTACATCTGTAACTCCTGATTATTTTTAGATTTCAGATTTATTGACTTGAGAAAATGATTACATGGTATGAAATAGAAAACAAACATAAACTAAAGGTAAAAAATCATAAAAAAAGGAAAAATTCATATTTCTTCCTTGCTTATTATGACCAGATTCTTGATTTAGATATAGTACTCTGATTTGTTTCCACATTACGACAGTGCCGGCCTGTAACTACCATTGTATGAATACAGATGGTTAACATATTCTGATGCATGTGTCAGGTTGTTAGCAGAGTTCCCTGCTACTGGTGGCGTGGTGACCTCCTGGCAGTTCCAAACAGTGCGCCTGATGCGATATGTGTCCAGCTGGGACTACTTTGTGGGTGTGTGTGAGGTGGCATTCTGCCTATTCATTCTGTACTACGTAGTGGAGGAGGTGCTAGAGATCCGCATCCACCGCCTGCATTACTTCAGGAGCCTGTGGAACTGTCTGGATGTTCTCATTTTGGTGGTGGGTATCAAGGTCGTATGTGCAATTATTAAAGTAATTAAAATTGTCATTTTAATGATCACTCACTGACTTTGTTGCTTGCTCTTTTTTCAGTTGAGTGTTGTTGCTATCATCATGAACATAACCAGAACAGCCATGGTTAGCAATCTTCTCAAAGGCCTGTTGGAGAATCACACTGCTCACCCCAGCTTTGAGCCGTTGGGCAACCTGCAGGTCCAGTTCAACAATGTGGCTGCTGTCATCGTCTTTTTCTCCTGGGTCAAGGTAGAAATCTTTTCTCTTCGGTATATAGTCACTCCAATACTCCCATTGTGGAAACATGAGAACCCAGTGACTGTAGACTGATAATAATAGTCATTTTTCATATCCTCTCAGCTTTTTAAGTTTATCAACATCAATAAGACCATGAGTCAGCTGTCTAGCACTATGTCGCGCTGTGCCAAGGACCTTGTGGGTTTTGCCATCATGTTCTTCATCATCTTCCTGGCGTATGCTCAGCTGGCGTACTTGGTGTTTGGAACCCAAGTCAACGATTTCAGCACTTTCCAAGCCAGCATGTAAGAAAATTAGAATATTAGTAAAGCCAACAAATGTACAAATATTTCTGACAGTTTTTGTTTTCAAATGTTGAAAAATCTTAAAATGTTTTACTGTTTGTGTAGTTTTACCCAGTTCCGAATCATTCTGGGAGACTTTGAGTTCTCCCAGATCGAGGACGCGAACCCAGTGCTTGGACCTATCTACTTCACCACCTTTGTCTTCTTTATTTTCTTCATTCTCATGGTGAGCAGCGGAATCACCTGTTGTGTTGAAGTCTTGAGTTTGTTTGTGATGTTAAAATATGCTCCTGACTAACATGAGTATACATTTTGTCTTTCTTTCTATGTAGAACATGTTCCTGGCCATCATCAATGACACATACTCTGAGGTGAAAGCTGACATGTCCCAGCAGAGGTCTGAGATGGAGATGACTGACCTCATTAAGAAGGTATTGAACTACATTTATCCTTTATTTATTTTATCATAAATCAACACTAGCTGTCAGGTCAATGAAACATTAAGGTCTCTGTGATACCCTAAGTAGCACACCTGAAAGTGCTATTTCTAATATTGCAAGTTTGTATCTACTAATTAGAAAATGTCAGTGTTTCCCCAGGAAGTTTGTGGTGTGTGGTAAGATGTTTTCCCTGAACCTTGATTTATTCCATATATGGTCTCTGATCCTGGGTAATTCTGAAAAAAACACGCCTTAAATTGATTCTGCAAACGGCTCCAATTTCAGTTTCAGTCTTTCAAAGTGAGGATGACTTAGAGAGTTATAGAGTAATTCAACTGTAAAACCAAGATATAAGGCCTCACTGGAGAGAATCCCAGCCTCTAAATGGTAGAGAGAGAGAGATAGTGACGACATAAGACCATGTGCCTTACAGAGTTTGGGGAATCAGATTTAAGAACATCTTAAGCACATGAAGTGCCAAGATTATGCCAGCTAACCTGTTTAGGTAAATACAAATGTAATTTTAAGTATTCCTCTGACTCCCGTCTCTTAGGGTTGTAACAAAGCTTTGATGAAGTTGAGACTAAAGAAGACGATGGTAGACGACATCTCCGACAGTTTGCGTCAGGCTGGGGGCAAACTGAATTTTGATGAACTCCGTCAGGATCTTAAAGGGTGACCAAAACCGCAAAACACTCTAAAAGCTCTTAAATATTATGCTATCAGTGCAATGCTTGGGTTGTTGTTGTTTGATGCTACCTGTCCTGAGTGTGTTTGGGTTCTTTCTTTGTTCAGAAAGGGCCACACAGATGCAGAGATTCAGGCCATCTTTGCTAAGTATGATCACGACGGTGACCAGGAGCTGACGGAGCATGAACACCAGCAGATGAGAGATGATCTGGAGAAAGAGAGAGTGAGTGATGATGTCAGCAGTTTGTCCCTTTGGTTTTAGTGACTGAATAATGATCAGAAAACGCATGGAAAAACACAGAACAGGCCATGGTAGCATACACAGCCACAGCATCTGCAGATGCTCAGTGTGTTTCTGCTGATATGCTAGGAGGACTTGGATCTGGAACGCAATTCGCTGACTAGACCCAGCAGTGGGCGGAGCTTCCCTCGGACCCAGGACGACTCGGAGGAGGATGATGACGAGGACAGCGGCCACAGCTCTCGTCGCCGTGGCAGCAGCTCGGGTGGTGTCTCCTATGAGGAGTTTCAAGTGTAGGGAGCTTAAGTTTTTGTTATGCTGTAAATTACAGGAAACTGAACAACTAACTAATACCTTCCCTTTGATCTAAATTAAGTTGATGTCAATTCTTGGAGGTTGTGGAAAAATTCCCATCACATTTTTGCATAGCTCAAGGTGGTGTCCTCAAATTGCTTGTTTGTCTGACAAACTGTCCAACACCCATTAAAAAAAACCTAAAATATGAAATATTCGGATTTGAGTAGGTGGAACCAGCGATTAATCACTTTGATTGAATAACTGTTTCAGCTCGAAATGCGTTAGTCATGTCAGATTTGGAAACACTTTAATTCCTTCTATTCAGTATTTATAAGCAATATTAATATTTAAAAAATTGTTTACCGCATACTATAATGCAGGTTTAAGGACATTTTAAAGCTTTTATTAAAGTACAGTTTATGTCAACAAATATAACTTCTCCTGTGAAGACATATTTTATATTATTACAACTGTGTTTTACTATTTTATTTATTTATTTTTACACCAGCCTCCATTTAAATTATGTATATGTGTGTTATAAACAAAATGTTTACGTACATATTTTTCTATTAATAAATAGTAAACAAAGTGTTTTAAATAGCCATGTGAATGATTATGACTGTAGTAGTATGACACATTTGACATGTAATATAATGTAATAAGAGATCTGATGGCTTTCTGTTTCTCAGGCTTGTGAGACGTGTGGACCGGATGGAGCACTCTATCGGCAGCATAGTGTCCAAGATAGACGCTGTGATTGTGAAGCTGGAAACCATGGAGAGAGTTAAACTTAAAAGGAGAGATGTGGTGGGCAGGCTGCTGGACGCCATAGAGGTGAGACACAGTGGATACACAATCAGTGCGTTGATATGCGCTTAAAGCAGTTATACTTTTTTTTTTTTTTTTTAAATGGATCACAGGGCTGAAAGAGGTTGCGCTCTCACCACGCTCATAGCACCAAAAAAGAGTTTAGTGAAGTTAGAGTAGCTGGTGAACACAGTGGAGCATTTAGCGCCTAGAAAAACATGTATTTTTCTCAAGAGTTGGTAGAAACCAATAACAGAAATACAACTGCAAATAAAGAAATAATGCTTCATATATGTTTTTACAACTAGAAGAATGAAGGAAAAACTAACCGTATATTCCTAATCATACCCATATATATGCATACACATACATTTACAGTCACATACTGTATGTATATATGTGTACATTACACTTATGTATTTACATTTACCGTTTGCACATGTACATATTTGCCTGTATCTAAAAAACTATTTGAAGAAAGTAAAATTAAGACAAAGAGAGTAGAAGTAGAAAGAAAAATCACAAATTTGCCTCAAGTGGGCTTAACTTTCTGTTCAAAATTAAATCAGACTAAAACTGAATCTCATACAATGTAGCCTCTCAGTGCACCGTTGGCCGTCTGATACACAGACACACACACAGAATCAGTATCACTAATACAATTAAAATAAATAAACCACAGACCTACATGAACCTATGGCACATCGTCAGGTGTGTGCATGTAAACATTGTGTATAAGTGAACCTGTTTCTGTCTGTCAGGATGAGCAGACAGAGAGGCTGGTGAGGGAGGAACTGGAGCTCTGCGAGTCCGATGATATGGTCTCTCAGGTCAGCCACCCACAGCCGGCCACTCCTGTGGGCCCTCGCCCTCGACCGTCCTCTTCTCTGTCCACTGACGGCCTCGATACAAGCACAAATGGGAGCGGCCACGTGTGAAGTGTTGGCTCGCTGAAGAATATTCCACTTTAGCAAGAAACTCTATTGGAAATTCCCCTCAGCGGTACAAATAACTTCAGATGTGGGACAGTTTTTTGCAGAACAAAATTATTATGGAAACTGTTCAAATTCCTTGACATATTACAAAGCAGGTGACAGTCAAACTTACCTCACCTCAGATATTTTAATGCACTGAAAGTGAGTGAGGTTCTCCTGAGAGACATCTAAAAGTATTCTTTTCTCTGTCTCAAGCTATTATCTAGTATTACTTTAACAGAATGATGAAAGGAAATAAAAAAAAAAATGTGTGAAAGAGACTGAAGAATAATGAAGGATTTACAGTACGTATCAAATCACAGTATTATACACAGTATTGGATGTAATACACCAGCTGCAAAAGTTCTCAGTTGCACTCAGTATACACAGAGTATGATTTTAGTATTACATGAGAAATATGCTCACCTGCTTCTAATCTCTGTATCAACACATTTTAGCATTTCAACAAATACCAAAAAGGCATTTCTTTGAATGTTAATTTTGCTGATTATTTTTTCATCATTTTAACACACAGTAGGTACAAGTGGGGCACACTCTGCCACATTTACTTTTTCTTCTGTACATCAATTAAGCTTCTAATTAAACAGCTTATTATCATGTTATGATACATATTGTAACTTAAAACAAACTTCGATTTGGAGTGCATCTAGTGTTCATGGGAAACCCATGCATTTATAATTTTTTTCCCTGTGCCTTACTTTTTTTTACAGTCTTATTTCTTTTTCTTTTTTTTTTTTTAAATTTTATGCCAAATAAAGTGTTATTAAAATAAAACAAAATGTTATTCTATTTTATTTGTTTTGCTTTCCCTGGTTTGTGAGTTTGATTCATTTTAAGTGACAAGAAAACAACCATGAGCTAACTATAATAAAATCTGTAAACAAAGTTAATTTTAGGGCCTAAGCTTCCAAGCTCAGTAATGCAACAGTGTTTTTTATTTTGGGTATGAATTTACACCAGTGGACAATTTAAGTATTCAATCACAGTTTATTTTATGGAACTGTCATTTCTTAATAATTCTCTTGAAAGTTTCCTGGAAAGAACCCTAGAAAGATCTTATACTAATTTGTGAGCAAATACACATACTGTTATTGCATTTCATTTTAGTTTAAAATTAGCCGTTGATTTCTTTCAAAGAAAAGTTTTTTAAATCCAAGAAAATATTTATTCATCATTTATGTATTATTGTAAACAATATTCTTCATCCCATGTATGCTGAATTGTATGATTGGCTGTAAACAGTTAGCACATTTGTGGTTGTCATTGACTAAATTACTTGAGGTTACATTTGAAATTAATTGGAATCATCTGATCTGAAGTCCAATTAACATTGTGATGCTACCAAATTACATGGTTGTTGAATTTCACGACTGCACTGAAAAAGAAGACCAAGATTACATGAAATGTTTATATTGGTATCAGAATATACAAATGTGTGTATAGAAGTTTGCTTTGGAACAATAGAAAAAGTTAACACACACTTAATATCTACCTGATATAATTCTACAATATCTACAATTACAAATAATGACGTTTAAGGGGAAATCAAGATGGATTAAATTCTGTGTGATTTGGAAATTGTGCAAAAGCAAAATAAATCTACACTACTTAGTAACACAAGTACTGAAAAAAGGCATAGTCTGATTTAGGAATAATACAACAAATGTAAATAATCATAAATAATGAAAAATCTTTGAAATTCTATAAACCTATACCCTGTTTTAGTGCTTTTCATGTCTTCAACTTTAGAAAATTCTCTACACTCCAAAAAAAGTGAAAAATAATGTCCAATTAGTTGCTGAAAAGTGAACACAAGGTTTTCATGATAAAAAATAATGTTTACATTCAGGTATATATTTTAACTATACTGAATATCCAAGTATATAAGTGCAAACCATAGGCACACTTTAAGAAATAGTTTGACATTTTCAGAAATTCAATAACTCTCTTTCTTGCAGAGAGTTAGATGAAAAGATCTGTTATCCCACATATGTGCATTAAAGCTACTCTAAACTAGATCAAGTTACATTTCTGAAAATATGCATTTCCACAAAACACAGAGAACTACTGAGAACTACAAATAGTAATAATAGGGAAACTAACAAACTCTCTAATCAAAGTTTTTATATTAATAATGGATCAAATTCAAATACTTGTTGTTTTGTTTTCAGTGGAAAAACTCTGAAACTCACTGTACCTGACCTGCTCAGCACCAAACACACCAATGACAAGCTGGTGAAGACAGTGGAACATTTAGCAGCATTTAGCTAGCTACAGGGAGGGAACCTGCTGGAAGTATTTCTTGGTGAACGACAGTCAGACACAGTGACTTCAAGTGTTGCCTGATATGACTGACACCTAGCCGTCCAATCACAGCCTCAAACCTGTACAACTGCCATAAAAGTATAGTATAGTAACCTAGTAGCCATTTTTTTTTTCTTTTTTTTTTCTGTTTTGGTCATTTTTACATTTCTGTTTGTGTATCAGTTAAACAAGATGCGACATTTTAATTAGTGAGCTAAGCTAATCCTAGTACATTATTGTGCAGACAGGAGAGTGGAATACCATCTAACTCTATGCAAAAAGCAAATGTTTCTCCCAAAATGTCAAACTTATCCATCAATGATATTTTTGTGAACATCTGCTGACCGGCTTCCACAAAGACAAAAAAAAAAAAAGAAAAAAGAAAAAAAAAGAATTCACAATTAAACATTTAAGTGAACTTCTTGATGTTGCGGAGTTTCAGGTAGGCGATGATGAGGAATATGACGGACATGACAGTCAAAGCCACGTGGTTCTCCCACAATCCCCAGGGGGTGTACTCTATTCCCAGGTAGTCCAGATACTGCTCTCCTGTACATCTGAAACAGGGCATGTCCCACTTACACATGACCTATCATTGTTTAAGATGAATTTATTGTTTGTAAAGTCAACTGGAATTATACTGGTGATTGTAAAAATGTTAACTTTTAACGTGAGGCAGCTAGATTGGAAATGTCTTAATTACCTTAAGTAACACACAACCAGAGAATATACTGAATGAAGTCTACTCACGTCACAGCTGCGCTCACACTGCAGTTGGTCATTAATGCTGACATGTTGGCGTTTCTGTTCACAACCTCCTCACAGAACTTCAAACCCACAAACTCGTTGATCTTCAAGGCCTGGACACAGACGGCACAGTCAATGAATGCAGAGCAGAACAAAGGAAATATCTGCTAGAGATATTACTCTAGTTAGTACAGATAGCTTACACTCCATAATTGGTTAAATATTCAAGGTCTGCTGTTATCAGCCCTGGCACCAGTAGTATCAGCAGAAAACCACAGCTGCGTCTGCAGGAGCCGCCTGAGCGTCTCAACGCCTGTAAGATTTAATGCAGTAGCTGTGGCACAGTGACCTAGCGCCTCACACTGACCTTTCACCCTGAGTCAGTCGCTCATTAGGCGGACAAGAGAGAATTCCCTCACAAAGCTGCATCATTTAGTCATGGATACTGTAGATTATCGAACAGGCCTTCTGGACACTGGCACAGGGGCCTGAGAGGTAAGACAGCCCCTGGACCAGAGCCCCTGCATGAAGTGACAGTGACTTAATATTTCTTGTTTGAAAGTCGTCTCAGTTAAAAGACAGTACCCTCACAATGACTTGATTTAGTAATAATATATTAATATGAGTCTGATAGAGCAGTTGGACCAATCTATTGACTGATATAAGCTAATTGCAGATATACTCGCATTAGTATTGGTGTAAATCTTGGCCAAAAAGTCACATGACATAAATAAATGACAAAGATATGTCTGAGGTAATTTACAAACAGATTTTCCACCATCTGACAGATTTATTTTTGAATTGTAAAATGTCTCACTTAGTACATTTCTTGGTTAAAAATAAGTAAATACATTTAAAAAAACAAATGATAAAAAAGGATAACATTAATTAATGACAGACATATAAAGTAATTAACATTAGTTTGACAAAACTACTATTCTATACTATAATGAAGAATAAACTTTCATGCTCTCTCGATATTGGCCACAACAATCCATTATTGATCAGGCTCTAATATTATTTAATATGTTAACTGGTGTGTGATTTCAAACTTTGTATCTTTTAAATGACCCTCTTGGCCACATGCTGAGTTTACCTGGTGACGACATAATGAAGAATCATCAAAGCTGCAAGTGCCTTTCTCTGGAACTGTCAATATACTGTAAACAGTAGTTCTTATTACTAGTTTTTACTGAAATTCCTTTCTTAAATTTTGACTTACTGCGAGACCATAGCGAGGAATACTGAAGTACTTCAGCCAAGCCAGCCAATCCGTGATGCTGGGTAGGTTCACCAGGAGACCTGAGAAAATCTAAAAACACAACACAAACTCAAGTTATGGGACTTTTTTCACAGTAGACATGTTGATATGTCACTGCAGCACAAGCACAGATGTTTCTAACATTATTTATAATTCACTGGCACAGCTCATTAACATTATTAGTCACACCTGTGTGATGTTTTGACACCTTCATCAGAAAAATTATTTTAGATGACCCTTTTTCATGTGTCACATGCATCTGCGTAATGTTGCTGCTAAAATGTTATACCATATTTTTATGTGTTCTTATGGTTTTTGAAGAGGTATTGTGTTTGGACATACAGTGCGGTCCAAAAGTCTGAGAGTCTCAGATTTTATATGTGCAGATCATTACAGTGAATGGAAAATTCAAACTGGTGGGTTACTCATTACAAAAACTGTTCAAATCCACACAATTTTATTTTCATTCTAGTGGAGATCCAAATTAAAAAATTCCAAATATACCAAGCTTGAATTCTGGAAAAAAGTGAAATGATCCATAAATCATCTAGAATGATTCAATTTGATGAAAATAATCTTTCACTATATGATGTAAACATCATGTGGTCTCAATGAAGAGTTGGAGCAAATCATATGCATATCTTTTGTTATTCTGTGCTGCTGCGTCTCTCACCATCATGAAGACAAAGGTGATGGTCATGAAGATGTTGGCCAGAGCCACGACGCTCTGGTCGGCTGAGATGGCCATGGTCATGGCTGTGGCTGTGTAGGCCACCAGAGTCACTGTCAGCGTGAAGATGAAGAAAGCTGCTCCTGTGGATTTGAGCCCTAATATACACACACACACACACACACACACACACACACACACACACACACACACACACACACACACACACACACGATTATCAAACACTAAATACTGAGCTGACATCTGAGTTTAGAATTAGTATTTAATCTAATACTCAAGACTTAAAGCTGAAACATTCCACAAATCAACGATAGATCTGTTAGTCTTACCGATCATGAAATAGACAATACAGCTGAAGATAACAGAGGTGATGGTGCGCAGAGTGACATCAGACAGGATCTTTGAGAGGAAGTAGACAGACACTCTGTAGTAGCCACTGATGTACTCATGCCTGTCAAGACAGAGTACAAGGAGAAATCAAATACTGACCATGACACACAAGTCTGCACAGCTGTGCACGTGGATGTCATTGTTAGCTTGATGAGTCCTTTACGTCTTTATGTCTTTATAGATATTTTGTTTACTCTCTGGTGGCATATATCCTCTGTTGAAGCATTTGACAATTGTCTTAGTCTGTTTATATTGTTTGTATTTATTGCTGTAACAAGGCCTCTCTTCTCTTTATCTCTGTGAGATTTCACCTGGTTGAATGAAGGAAAATGACATGAATGACAGATTACATACACAAACAGTTTCCTCTCAATGATGAAGAGCTCAGCTGCAGACACAGTGCTGAAACACTGGTTGGTGGTGATGAAGAAGAGGGCGCCCATCCTGTAAGAAACAACAAAACAAAATCTGGTCAGTAAGTCTCTCGAGGGCACAACACAATTTTATATTTTATCTTTATCCCATAACCCACATGTACAGTCTCCTAAAGGAGTTTAAATCGAAAAAACAACTGGACTTGATTATTTGTCTGGGAAGACGTTTCACCTCTCATCCAAGAGGCTTCATCAGTTCATGTACGCATCTGACCAGGCTGGGACTGGACCAGTCTAAGCTTTGTGGTATGCACTCTACCAGGAGAGCAACAGGGACACCCCCCAATGTCTGATTTGTGATATTAAGCTAAGAAAATAAAACTGGCTTGTACCTCATAGGTAGCCTGTATTTAAAAATATAGTGAAAGTGCATTTCCTCTAAAATGGCCAGATATTATTCTCTAGTTGTACGTAGTCTTGTCTTCTTCCACTGTACCTACATTTGAGTACCAATAGGAACCAGGAAGAAGTTTGTTGGTACCTGATTCATACAACTATTGTATTATAGTAAGTGTTACCAAAAGTCACCAATTCACATAGCCTGCATGTCGAAGCACCCAGAGGAAACTCCACATAGACAGGCCAAGACTAGCCTGTGGATTTAAACCCAGGACCCAGACTTCTTCGAGTGAGGGGTAGTAACAAGAGGAGCTGGGGATCAAACTGGCGGTGGACTGTGTCTCTGGGGGCAATTGTGGCTTTTGTTTAATGTCTTTTGAAGGGTGGGTTATTTCCTGTATTTGTTTCCTTTCTCTTTTCTCTTACTGCTGTTTGCACTTTCTCATATGTAATTCATTGCTTTCTCCTGTACACGTCCGTTCTTGTTGTCCTGGTTGCATTTTAACATGTGGAACAGTAAAGCACAATGAGTTTAGTTGTAAGGAAATGTGCTACATCAATGAAATCACTACGCTTGTCCTTGCTTTATATTCTGAGGCAGCGTCAAATACAAAGAGGTGATCATGAAGGGAGAGGGAGCAGCGATAAACTCAGTCGCTGTGCAGATTATGGTACTACATGTGTTATGGTCCATGTGTAACAAAATAGACTTCAAAGTTAACTGACTCCACTGTGGCCCTAATAGCTGACATCCAATAAAAAGGAGGGAGGGGTGAACAACTTGAGACGTTTAAGCCGCGTACACTGGTGTCTGCCACACTGCCTATGCATTGACCATGAATTTAATGACATTAGGTCCTTCTATTCCACTGAACCATGCACAGAAAGAAAAGAGAGAGAGACCATTGAGGTTTCTATTGTGCTTCATTGGGCTTGTGAGTACCAGGTTGTGCCCAATATAAAATATGGTAAGAGGATTAGCTATGCAGGAATTGCTCCACTTTTTACATTTCTCTATCAAAAGTTGTCGAGGACTTGAAAACCTGAGCATTTATTAGGAAACGTGTCGTATTAATCAATGTGCCCATCCTGTATGGCCACATGATAATCTATTAATCGACATCAATGATCAATAGCTTTTATGTTTTCTAAGAGTTAAGACCTTCTAGATACTGTAAAGGCCTAAAACAGTTTTTTAAAATATTGCCACAAACAGAAAGTTGCGGTGTCGGTGTAATGTTTTTATAATACAAACAAAATCCACATTATTCTCAGTTTACAACAGGCATACATGTGAATGAATCGCACAGAGCTACTTTAAGCACCAGACAGGAGCAAACAGTAAAATACAAAAAAAACAAACAACTTCTTACTATAATATGCTTTTCAACTGACACAGGGACAACAAAAACACACCCAAGAAAAACGCAACATTACCATTTACTCAGAAATGCAGTTTTAATGTTGATAATGATGTCATGTAATGTGTATAAAATATTAGGATGGGTCTCACCTGTTCTGGATACCACTCTGATCATCTTTGACTCTGAAGAAAATGGCTCCTACGATGAGGGCGAGAAAGATGTTGACTCCCAGCTGCACAGACAGAAAATGAGACATTTAGACAAAAGAAGGCTATGATGAAAATTTATACGGCCCTGTTTGTAAAATATATATTAACACTCAATGGAGTCATAACTTTAACAGGGCAATGTAAGAACAAATGTATGGTCTGGGTGATCATGCAACACTTCATAAAGAACATCTGACTAAGTATAAAAATGTGACCTTCTGTGTCATCTCACAACAGGTAAATGTAGTTTTGACACTCTAAGTCTGCTTTCTCCGCTCGACTGCAAAAAGGTGAAGTTGTGTCAGAAATAAATGCCAGACAACTGCTCTGAGACTTAGATTATGAAGAAACTCACTTGATCAAAGGTTTCATGTTTTTGAAACATTTACCTCTGAGGCTATTTGGAAGAAAAGGGCAAATGTTGGTGAGTGTGACGGGATTAACTGAGCCATCAGTGCAGTCATTGAGTCATACAATTCTGCTGAATGTGGACTGGTATGAGTTCTTTTTGAAGAATGAAAATTAAACTTAAGCAATATTCTCACTGACAGAGGAGCCAGTGTTTTTGGGGATCAGGGGTCAAGTGGACACCCTGCTCCTCCTCCAGACAGACCTATCCGAGACAACAACCAGACCTGCTGGTGGGGGGAAGATGACAGAAAAAAGTGAGAGAAGTGAAAGCGACACAAGTTTTAATCCCAACAATTTACAGATTATGACAGGACTAAGCGGTTCCCAGGGTGAAGGGATAAGCTAATAAGGTTGAGCCTTTTTCACCTCATTCCCCTCAGCCCCTCATGTGAAAGCGGGGCAGTGAATGGATAGGTCATGACGCCATCATGTGATGAATCCTGGAGCAGGGCCAAGGGGCTTTGGCCAGATATGATATCAGTTAAGATCCTGGCCCAAAGAGGCAAGAGTGGGGTCACAACAGTCACCAAAGCCGATTATGGCGCCCACGCCACCTAGAGCCCCCCTTGAAGGATTATTTTGACTTATTTAGGGCCAATTATCTGTTAATAATTCTTAAAGTGAGGAGACTTCTGACGGCATTTTGCCGCCATGGGGTGACTAATGAGAGCATTAAGTGGTGACCCCTCTATGCATCCTGTTCATGAGGATATTAGTTATTTACTGAAAGTTTCGCTCTTTAGAGTGTTTGAACAAAGTGAAGGTGATAGCAGTACAACATCATGTTTAAATGGAGACTTGAGATATCGTGAAAATGAGGACTTGGGACCCAACTTGTATGCGTCTGTCTTGAGACTTGAAGGCAAAAAGCTGAGACTTAATAAATATTGAAAAATACAGTGCTTTGCGTACTTTTTGCCTTTTGGAGCACTGCCACACCATGAATAATGAATGAAATTGTTGCGGGGTGCCAGTGTTTAAACACTTGCAAATGTAGCTGCTACCACCAGAATAAAATGGATAAAAAGTCCAAATTCAGAATAGAGAAATTAGACTCTCACAATAAAATTAATTAGCCAATACATAAACAAGTAGTTCAAAGGAATAGTTTGACATTTTAAGAAATATGCACTTTATGGCAAATTAGATGAGAAGATCAAAACCATTTGCTTGTCTGTACGGTACATATGAAGCTACAGCCAGCAGCCGGTTATCTTAGCATAAATGCTCTAATATGTTTATTAAGAGTTTTGAAGAAACTCTAAGGTACTGGAATGGCTAGTGATTGGAGAAGATATTGTAACCTGGGTAACACATTAATATTAAAACAACTGATTCTTTCAATCAAGGTATTTATGGAAATGCTCTTCTACTTACAAGGTGACGCAGGCTAATTAAGTGTTAACAAATTTTTAAGATGAGTATCTATCATTATTCCAAGATATGTTAACCCCTTAAGAGTCCATTTAAATGGGCTAGTTTGTTGATACTTATTATATAGAGCATGTTTTTTTTAATAAAGAATATTGACCTAACTAATAGAAGAAGGGCCAAAACCAAACTTAGCCAAGACCCTGAACAGAAAAGGCTTCAAGAGACAAGCTTAGCAGGTAGGGTTTTTTTTTTAACTTTGGCACAACCAGGTTAGCTGTTTCCCAATGTTTCACTTATGCTAAACTAAGCTAATCAGGTGCTTGATTCAGCTACATATTTAGTGTATTTACTTTAATACTTTCCTGCCTTCATATCCAGCACATGAACTATATTCATTCCTGCAGCCGTGAAAATAATTAAACCTAATTAACTTTATTGACGTGCTAGTTTCTGCTTTAGTTTTACTTTTTCTGCTTAAGTCTCGAAGATCTGAGACTTGACTTGGAGCAGAAGACTTAAAAAAAGGCTTTGTCCTCTGTGGCTGGACACAGTGCAGGTGGTTTGAAGTTTATGATGAGTTCTGTGTTTTAAGTAAGTAATGGGGATGTTTACCTGGGCAACAGATGTTTGTGGGTTTAACATGAGGTTCTGGAAGGTTCTTTGTAGCACCCAACGTAGCTGGTGGAAGAAGGAGCTGTTGTAGGTGATGGTGCGGGATTTTGGACGTGAGATACACTCCTTATCCTGGACGATGCGGCCCAGCTCGGCTCGTGTGTCGCTGGAGTAGCTGCAGTTCCTGTACTCCTCTATCAGCCGCTCCTCGATACTCTGCCTAGAGCTGCTGAGCTCCTCAAAGTCCAAATCTGGCCATGCAATCAGGAGGAGAATGATTTTAATAAGGGAAATACTCAATACTACAACAGATGTTGATAATCACATTAAGCATTGGATTGAAGAATTTAAGTTGTGGACTTTTAAACCTCAAATGGAAGAAAATTGTTTTCTGACAAGAGAGCCTGATGAAGCACATGTGAAATGTGTTACATGCTCTTTCACTTACAGAAAACGTTAAAATAACATAATAAATGATAATCAAATTGACTAATTTGCTAATTGTTTATAAACCCTTGTCTGCATAGAATAATATCCCTTGGGAATACTTGATAAAAACTAAATGATCTGTTTATGCTTGCAAAATCATCAAGTAAGATTTGCAAGTTAAAGCACACATTATTTGTGCAAAAAATCAACAAGTTTACAAATTCATCTTATTGTGAAGGCAGAAGACATTAAATCTTGATTATAGTAATGATGGCTTTGTTTAAAGATGGCGTTACCTTCAGAGCCGTGCACTTTGGTGATGGTTGTACCAGTGAAGTCTCCATTAATAACATCCAGGAAGAAGTCAGCTGGGTTGTTGTGGGGCTCACAGGGATAGCCTGAAGCACACATCACAAAGATCCATGTTATATATCGATAAATGCCCAGTGTTGTATAGATAGTGGCTATAGACTGTATATAAGATAGCAACATAGCTTTTTTTTGTCTGCTATTTACCCATATAAGAATATATAGTTGCACAATCATCTACATACTGTATATTCCCTAATTAAACTTAACATTAAAAACATAAGGAAGAGTTTAAAGATGTGGGAGTATCTTGTGGTAATAATCAGTTTCAACAGAGCAGTCACCGATGTTAGCAAAGTAGTCCAAAGCATTTGGCGCTGGTCCATGGTACACCATTTTGCCACTAACCAGCAAGGTTAGCGTGTCAAACAGTCTGTAGATTGAGTAGCGAGGTTGGTGGATAGACATGATTATGGTTCTTCCATGACTGGCCATTCTGAAAACATATACAGTAAAAGTGAGATGTAAATATATTGCCAGTAAATACAATAAAGCTGCCTTCTGATTCCATAGGAATTTTCTGAAAGAAATTGAGTTGAATCAAATGGAGTCAAAAATGACCATTTTGAGTTTCAGAGCTAATTACAATAATAATAATGATAATGATAATGAGAATGAGAATGAGAATGATAATAATAATTCTTTGTGTTGTACAGACACACCTAGACCCTTCCATTAACATAAAAAGTAAAGGATGCACAGCTGTGACTTGGCGTGGTACAAAGAAGGATGCGATCTCCCTCTCACACTTGTCTATCTAAAAGTACGTCACTGGAATAATCCTAAATATCTACAGCATTTCATTATGATGAGGTCATACTCAAAGGATATGATATTCTGCGTTTCCATTACTAGTTTAAAATCTAAAATACTAATATTAATACGAGTTCCACAGGGATCAATCCATGAACCTCTGCTTTTTTGCTAAAAAGGTCAGCAGTTACATGTTAGCAGTAGATTTTATCCGTCGATATTGGCCTATCACAGATATATTAGTATTGGTGCATATATTCTCCGGTATGTGCTGATACGTATACTTTTATTAAGAAGCAATAATGCAGTGGAAATGCTCGGGTCAAGTCAAGTTTTATAGGCAGCATTTTATGTATATTTGATCCTTTGTTTTCATTCAAGTTAAATTTTTTCTTACGTTTTTTATTTATAGTTATCTATTTTTATAGTTATTGCATTTAATTCCCAGTGAAGTTTACCGTTTCAGTGCACTGATGTCATTTTGGACAATAAAGTTTATTGTTAAACTGTTAAATATCCTGCTTTCATTACATATCTTTTTCACAAGTGTTCATATATATATATATACATATATATATATATATATATATATATATCAGCCAATATATCAAAACTGAATTTTCTTTACTCCCTAATATTGGTATTGGCATCTGCCCCAAAAATCCAATATTGGTCGGGCTCTAGTTAGCAGGAGTGAAATATGGAGTGAGGCCAATCAGATGGCTGCTGTTCTGTGGGTTAGACTCTTATTTAGGTGGCATCCTGTGTGTTTAGTGTGGTCTATGTAGCTTTGTGGCACGGATGTAGTTGAAAAATCTGAATACAATCTGTGTTGAAATCAGAGAAACAACAAACAATTGACAAACTTCTCCTAAGTTTTTCATTACCTTTTCAGCAACAGTAAGACAGAGTTGGCAGTGCTAGCATCCAGCCCTGTGGTTGGTTCATCCAGGAAGAGAACTGAGGGATCAATAATCAGCTCCATCCCGATGTTTGTCCTCTTCCTCTCTCCTCCTGAGATTCCCCGGGTCATCTGTGTGCCAACCTAAGGAAAACACCAATATAAGAACAACACAACAGGGATCAGTCAGTCTGTCCTGACTCTCACCTAATGTCTTGAAGCTTGACTCAGACCACTAGGTATGAGGTTAGATGACTAATTGAGGCATGTTGGACCTTGGAGTCAGCCACTTTTGTAAGACCCAGTTCTTTGATTAGGTGATTGACTCGAGCCTCCTTCTCACTCTGAGGCACAGAGCTGGGGAGCCGCAGAGCTGCAGAAAAACGCAGATTCTCCCTCACAGTCAGGGTGCCCATGACCACATCTTCCTAGGAGGGAGACAAGAGCTTGAGGTCAAACGTCAGAGACATTGAAGATCATTTCTTTGGCAGAATTCTGTTGTCCTGCCCTGCTATGTTTTTCTGAAAATCTACATTTCCGCAGACCTGTAAAGCAGAGAAGTATTGATCTAATAGTTTTTAGTTACTACTACCAAACAGCAGACAAAGTTAGAGACTAGCTGGTGAAAATAGTGGAGCATTTAGCAGCTAAGGAGCCAGATATTTTCATCAGGAGCAGGTGGAAACAAGAGCTAATATCAGACTTAAATTTGTCAGGTGGGCACAAACAAAACTCGAAGTGAAAGCTAATGTTGCTCCATGTGTGCTGGACATGTAAATATCCCACTGTTTGCTCACAAGTTCAGATGACAACATGTCAGTGTTGTGTTTACAGCTTTTTTACACTGATGCAAGTTTAAGTAACTGAAAATAATTCAAATGCACCTGAACCACATAGCCAGAGAGGCATTTGAAGTTTGGAGGCTGTGGTGCTCCATCAATGAGTACTTCTCCTGAGAGTCCTGAAGGATCCTTCCTCGCAGCCAGAATATCCAAGAATCTTTGAAAAAACAAAACAAGACAATGTTTAACATATCTACAGTAAATACAGACTATTTTGAATGTTTTTTTTATTGGATATTGGTTCAATACTCACGAAGATTTTCCACTTCCAGTAGGTCCAAGAATAGCGTTCAGGCCAGGTCTCATTATACCACTGCAAGACAATAACACATAACTGTACATAACCAGTTTAACATGGATAAATGAATTTTAAGGCAAATACTGGGGCATATTCAAATGGTCTGCATTCATCTCTAAGGTGTATAGTCTAAGATTTTCACTTTAATGTATCAGTTTTACAATACAAAAATGAAGAGAGTGAAACAAAGTGGATTAATACGGTTCTTGATTATGTGATGATCATTTTCCTCATAGCACTTTTTTCTAAATTCATTTTCCTCCCTCCTCCTAAATAGAGTGATGTTTGCGAAAGGATTTTTGCAGTTGTTACAGATATAATGAACATTTCTTGAAAGCTGCAGACAAAAAAAACTCTGTAAAACCATTGAAAAGAATTCAAGAGCAAATCCTTTGACTTCAGAACAGTTACACAAAAGCACCAGGAAGAGTCAGCGATATAAAATGGAATTAAAAGACTGAATAAAAGCCTGGCAGTGGATCACGTGACGGTGTTTAATTCGTTTCCCTGGCAGACTGCTCTTTAGTGCATCAGAGAGATTATATGCAGGAAACCATGCTTAATATCATATAATTAACACTGAGGTGGGAAAAGGCCCAAAAACTTGTGTGAAATGATTCATTCTTCCATGGGAAATGTCAGCTGTGTTTAATACCATCAGAAAGAAACCAATGTAAGAGTCTATTCACTATTGTCCTGCTTTAGATAAAGATACAGTGAGTCATATTGAATTGACATGAAGAACCACTTTTTCACTGTAACATGGTCACCTCAAATTAAGAGAATCAAAAAATTATTACAATGAATTTTATAAATATTAAGCCAAGAATTGGTCAATTTTGCCATTTGTTTCTGGAAGAAAACAAATAAAAAATGTCCACATTCATAAAATATTTTCTCTTGCTGTCTGAGAAAAGTTCAAATAAATTAGCAAAAATCTGAAATATCATTATCTTTAACAATTTAATAGATTTTCTACTGAACATTTTGAGTAAATGAATAGAGAAAACAATAATTGACCGATGTGTCACAGTTCAAATACCCATGGATCTCTGGGTAAATTTGGGTCAAGAGTAATGAAGGACTGCATAAGGAGGAAGATACAACTGACAAAGACACAAAAGAGGAAAGGAAGACAAACAAACAGATGCAGAGGGTGTACAAGTTTTACAACTGACTTGAGGTCCACCAGTATCTCCTTGGGACTGGTTTTCCTTTTGCAGAAGAAGCCACTCTTCAGCTGCACTTTGTACTGGATGTTGTGGAAGCTCACAGTGGATCCGCAGGGCTGCTTGTTCTGGTCCGTGGCTGTGATGACCTTTGACCTGGCCATCCCGTTGGTGCCGATATCTTCGATCATTGCAATGTTGATGTGATTGGCTCTCTCCATTATCCTCTGCGGCAATCACCCTGTCAAATGACAGAGTGAAGACTACATCCATTTAAATCACTGAATATTAATACACTCTTATAAAATTAAACATCAAATTACAGGAAAAACAAGCAGAGGTGCTATTTCTATGTGTAGTAATAAAGTAAAAAAACAACAATACAAAAATACTATGTTAGTCCTGCTTTCAAAATCCTATCTAAGAAAAAGTACAGAACTATTGTCAAATAAATATAGTTTGAGTAAAAAAAATAAAAGTATTTGTTATTTAGAATAAATATTATCCAGAAGTGATCTTACTATTATTATACAGGTAACATCATTAGATTGTTAATACTGATGCATCAATGTATAAGTAACAGTTTATTGTTGTGGCCGTTTGAGGTGGAGCTAGTTTTAACACATGACACCTGAGACCTCCAAAGGGTCTGAAGATAAATGGGAAGTTGTCAGATGAGTATTTGGAGATGATTTTTTTTTTTTTACTTTGTTTTTCTTTTGTGAAATATTGTAGACTGTGACCTCTGTGGGACTCAAACTATTATTTAAATGAAACCATTCTTCGGAGGGTAAATGTTTCTTCTTGGTAAAACTGAGCCCATATGTCTATGAGCTAACAACTCATAGACATATGAAACATAACAAGGTTTTTACAAGCTTATCATTTGTTTTTTTTTAATCTTCATCTGAAAAGTAACTTGAAAGTACAACTGTTAGACAAATGTAGTGGAGTACACAGTACAATATTTCCCTCTGAAATACAGAAGCATGAAATGGATTTATCGAAGTAAAGTACAAGTACCTCAAAACTGTATGTAGTACAGTGCCTGGTAAAAGTTACTTTCCACCTCGTGTGTGGCTATGGTTTAAATTAACTGAAAGCTGTGATTCATAGGGATCTGGGTGGATTACAGTACGACTTCAGCTAATAAAAATTCCAGGGGGAAACCCTTCATCTACAACATGTGATGGGGGAGTGAACCACACCAGGGCTATGCACAGCTGGTAATGGCTTAAACTTCATTAGGAAAATAATGCAGCAACATGTTTGAGTCTCTTAAATGTAAATTTAAACATTATTGTTAAAAAAATGCCAGATGTATAAGCCTGCAATTTACCTTATTTAAATAATAATTAAATAACCATATTCAAATATTATTATCATCTACGTCAGAAAAATTAGTTTCATCCTCTGAAGAACAAATGTCATACTTTTGTGCCAGGAATTCAACAGCTTTAATTTCTTCAATGTACTAAAAAAGGGCAAACCAGAAAAGAAAAACCTGCCAGCCATCTCCATATAATACCAACAGCGTTATACTGGTGTTTAACACAAACAGTGTGACTAGATAACAAGACAAAGTGGGCGAACTGGGCTATGATAAAAAGAAATAAAAAGTGATAAAAGTATATTTCTGTGAGGAACTCTGTGTTTTGAGGTTATAAGTTTAAATACACTTTGAAATAGACCCTAGACCCTAGACCCTAGATCACTTATGACTTCATAAATGAAAACATGCATAAATAAATAACCACAATAAATAAAAATACCCAGATCACTGATTGACAATAAGATGATGCTGTTTTATATATTTCTTCTCCTTGTTGAGTAACAATTTTCATGCAACTTACATGACACTGAAGTTTTGTCTTTGACATTTCAGAGGATGTAGAAATTTTAGCAACTTGTTAATATGTGTAATTTCAAATTTTGTTTTACCAGTACATTTCAAATTCTAGGGCCTCAGAGCCATTGTCATATTCTCTTGTATTTGCTGGAGTAACCATCACTGAAAAAAAGATCGTATTCGAAAAACTAAATTTAAAGATTATACCTCACCAACAACTTTGTTTCAAGGTGGCTACTTTCTTTGCTTCAAATGTGCGTTTTTAAACATAATGGGTGGCCTTCTTACCAAAACAGACCAAGATCTTATCTTCCTGTCTATAATCTTTTTTTTATTCTGGCTAGAGCACTATTCTTACAGTAGTTAATTTAGGTCGTGGAGGATTCAAAGCAATAAGAAACGGCGTTACAGTTTTCGGTAAAGCAGGGGCACCATTTTTAGTGAGGCAGGCAAGTAGCCTACTGCACACACATGCACATGATCCATTGCAGGGCAAAAATTAAAATATAATTCACGCATGGTCACAATTATCACTAACAAGTTGTTGCAAAGTGATATAAGATTTTGTTGCAGACTTACCGAGCTGTGAGAGTGTGGGAAGGCTGCTGGTACAGAGTCCTGCTGCCGCTGCAGACTGAGGGAGTACAGAGACTGGGCAGGCCGACTGACATCAGCTCCTGACTGCAGGGACCGGTGCCTCACACTGAACTGGGATCCCACCAAACTCCACGTGGGTTTAATCCTTTATTTACCACTCAAGTAGACATGACGGATTTCAATCGAGGCCGTCTATTTCTGTCTTCTCACACATCATCGTCTTCAGTTCATTTCTGTTCAGTATGAAGAGCTACAGTATTAGCAGGTGAAACTTGCAACAGTTGCGCAATTTATCACAGTGGACATTCATTTATCATGATTTTTTTTGTCTACATTGTAGTAGAACAGCTATAATGGAGTATTATATTAGTTTTAGAAATTTTGCTAACTTATTTTCCTAGTGAAAATGCATGGAAATCAACCACCAGTACGGTCATTTAAGAGAAATTTAAGTGGACAAGTGACAAAAAAAGTTCAGTTAAGAAAAGTAGCCATTCCCTTTCCTGCAATAAATGTTGTCTAGCAACGCAAAAGGTTGGGCTTTTCAGATACATGGCGAATGGAGGGATGAGACCATAGACATCTGTCTATGGATGCAAAATGAAGAAATACACTCCTTTAAAGAAAACAGGACTAGTTGTGATTGTTTTGCATCATTTCTGCATTGGTTTCACAAACACAAAAACAAACAAACAAACAACAACAAAAAATAGTACAATGTATGAACATTTTTTGGTGTGTAGTTTTTAATTGAAGTGTCACAAGCCATTTAGATCAAAAATACAGTACTAACAGTGTTCTTGAAACTCACATTTAGGTCCCGGATACAGGTCCACGACTACATTGATTATATTTGAAAGGCAGTGAAACAAAATACAGTAAAGAGATATTGAACACACTGAAAGATAACTTCAACAAACAAAGTAGGCTTGTAAGGAGGACGTGTTAAGCATAAAGACAAAGTCCTTATAATAATTCAGTATGTGAATGGGGGGGGGGGTATTTACAAAACATTTATAAATGGTGTTTGAAGAAAAACTGATAGCTACACATTTGCAATTCTCATAGTTAGAACAAGTATGTCGATAACGGTGGTTGTGTTTGTCTAGCTTTAACAACCACAAAACAAAACAGTGAACAAAAACTGTAGCCAATCTAATGGTTTAAGTCTACCTTGCACTGGAAGTGAACATACTCACATTAGATCAGCCAGGTCACTTATACAGCTTAATTACTCTTATACCCTACAGGGTTTGATTGTTTGTTTTAGTCATGGAGGGCATTTAAGCAAACATTCACATTGTCATACATGGCTCTTAGCTGAACAGTTCTTTAGTGTTGCATTAAGTGTGCTTTGCTCTTTATGAGTGACATTTTTAAGTGGTAAAAATGTTGAATTACAGATCGCAACTGAGGTACAATTAAAAGTAATGTATCCTTACACAATACAAGCAGCATGTGCATGTCAGATATTCTGATATGAGAAATTTAGCCAAGATATTAAGTAAATGTAACAGAGAACTATCAGTTTTCCAGGTATACATAAATAGAATTATTTACAAAACATAAACTGTACATTTCGGTACCCTGAACACCTCATAGTGCCCCAACATGACCTGTTTCAAATCAGTACAGATAATAACACTTATACAAGCCTGAGCAATGTTTACATTGCAAGAAACATGAATATCTTATTTTCATGAATGTCAGCTTCAGCCACTGAAATGCTATTTATACAAATAGCAACAACAACTCCATTCACACAGCCCACTAGTGCACATTAGTGAACATTCAGGGTTTTTGTTCATTTCTCCAAAAACATCACAATTGTGCAAATGGGCATCAATGTTTTTCAATGATGCATAAATGAGTATTACAAGTCCAAAGAAAACAATGAGTGTAGAACCTTGTTTGTGGGGAAGTCCTTAGAAATGGAGATACATTGAGAAGAGCAATAGTTTAAGCATTTTCAAAGCTTAAACTGTGAATATATCTGTACAGTTTAATGTAGATGCTTTGACCCAAGAGACAGAAAGGAAGCTCCAAAATTGACAGTCATTAAGTCCTACTCAGACTTATTATATTCCAGTTGCTTCAGAAGTTGTGAGCTTTTACATGTATGTACATTTAAGTACATTTTGTATTCTCATACAAGGGTTCAATGAATTCCAATTGACTGAAAAAAAAATGAATGCAGTTCAATTAGTGTGTTTCCCCACTCTCTTCTGCACATGTAGTCCCACTGTTAAAAATGATCCAGAAGTAAAGACTGAAGACTTAAAACAATTGTTAAAATCCAAATGCAATGTTGTCAAAATGCAACTAAAGTTAACCTTGAAAATAAAAATGTGCAAACTTGGGCATTATGAACAGCTAAATAGATAAAAATGTATCTGAATGGCAGACAGTCAGGAATATTAGTCTTAAAATCTTAGCTAATGTAGAGCAGCCAACATATCTGCTAAGTGACGACTCGTGATCATGAATTCCTGTCTGCCATTCAAACACTTCTCAACATTTAGCACCTATAGGGTCATTGGCTTGCTAGTAGATAAAACCTTGTATAAAGAGGATGTTTTCAATTTAGTGCACTTCATGAATTCCCCACCTCTTACTTCTCAGAGGACAGTATGGTGCTGCTATAAATAACATGTTGTAAGCCTTAGGTATTATTGTTTGGGCAAATCACACTTTATAAAGTTTCCTCAAGGGCACCGATTGTATTGCACACATTAATTAGGTCCACAGACCACACAGTTTCATCTGACATCCTGCTGACTATGCCCAGCGACCACTGGACACAAAACTTCTGCTGAAGGAGAAACTTGTGTCCGAACTCTTGTGTTTTCCCCAAGCACCAAAGGGCACCACAATAATTGTGCTGTTGTCTTCTGAGCCATACTGAAGAGCCTAAGAGAGAAGAAAACCATAACAACATAACATAACCATCTTGTCTTAGACTTATGATGACCTAATGCTTCAGGGCCATAATGCATAGATGTCCACGTAGATGTTTTTCTACATTTATGATGGCTTACATCCAAGTGATGATACACTGGAACCACCCAGGTTTTGGCAGGTGTAGTGAATAGTTTTACGCCTTGCAATATATACAGTATTCACATGTTCACACAACAACCAATCCATCCATCCGAAGGTTAAATTTAAAAAAAAATCTTTACCAACAAATCCCCATAAAAGGACAAAAATCAAAATTGCTCCGTCAGCAGTTTGTCTTCCCTACCGAGTCTCTGACACTCAGCCACAAGTTCATTGCTTCCTACCGAAAAAGTGAATCTCTAAAAACAGGTCACAAATAAATGAAAACTAAATGATTCCCAAATCTTGGCCATGTAGAGTTTAGTAAACACCACTCAAACATTAGTAAATGGTACATTTGCTGAAGATTATTTTTGAGCCCCAGATTTGGTGTTTATGTTGCAGGACTATGTCTGTGGGACTGTACTGGACACAGGAAAAAAAAGAACCTGGTAATTCCGAAAAGGAGAAGAACTCTGACCAGCCAAGACAAAACAAGGAGTTTGCATCAAAAAGAGAGGCTACTTCTGTTGTATGGTTATGGTTTAGGTATTTTTCATACCTAAACCATAACATGGACCAGAATACTGCACTTTGAAAATTATGAATAAAAAAAAATACCATCAGTAAACGACAAACAACAATAAATCCACAGCCACTAAAATTACAGTCCTCTCCTACTTTGTGTATAGTGGAGACTTACACTACAGACAAATTAAAAGCCAAATACCTGGTCAGATATTCTCTGGGCTGCCTCTTTGGGGTCGTGGCACTGGTTGATGACATTGCAGATTTCCTGGCTATTCATAATGAAGTTAATGCCATCTGTGGTCAGCGCCAGGAACGCGTCATGGACATGGTGCAACTGAAGGAAGAAAGTGAGGTATTATTTATCTACATTTGAAAACAGTTTTTCACAAAGTACCATTACAGTAGTTTATAAGAGAACATTTAAAGAAAGTAGACAACAGTTTAAAAGTAAAATTGGGTCAATACAAATGGTTGTAAGAAAAAAAAACAAAAACATACATAATTATACAATGTCTTTGTGGACATATTTACAGATTGAGGAAGGTGTGAAAATGTGTATTGCTGCTTATTCAGACTAATATATTGACAGACAGGAGAACATTTATACAAAAAAATGTATCCAGGTGTGCAATTTTCATTGTAAACTATTCACTTGATCACATTAAAATGGAGGTCAAACATGCACATAAATGTCAACAGATACAGGTGAGCATTGTAAGCATCACAATTAAAAAGGTAAAAAAAATATGTACTGGCTCATATCCGAAAACTAGAGGACGAAGGCCAGAGTGTTTGCTAAATACATTACAAGTCTGTGTTGTCATTGTGCTTTTGTACATCCAGTATTAACATTAAAACACCCAGTAGACAATTGTGAAATATTTGCCTGAAGCTGGGACAAACCTAAAACCCAAACCTACCGATATTCTCTTGGTCTCAGGCTCAGCAATGACCCCCATGTTCTTCAGGTCAAAGTCTCCAATGCTGCGTGTCATCGCCAACCTGCCGTTGACATTTGGCTGTCCCAAACTGTTCCAGGTAATAAAACCCCCACTCTTCTTAATCCTTGAGGCCAGTGGAGAGGGAGAGAGGAACACAAGCACTGACTACAATAATAAAAAATACAGTTAACAGAAGTAACAATATCGTCTTAGAGTAATTATTGCCAATAAACCACCATCAATGCATGTAACAACTTTTAAATGTGTTTTGAAGCTGTAAGTCTCCTTTGTCTTAACAGACAACATCTATGTACCTCTCTTTCTCGTCTTTCCTCTCAGGAGTGTGGTCGACAGTGAGTTTAAGGGCCTTGCCCTTGCGGCACAGCATGGCTCGGCTGTCTCCCACACTGCCCACCACCAACTCAAAGCTGTCCCTCAGCAGGGCCACAGTGGCGGTGGTTCCTGCATTCATCCCGGGTACTACAGAGACATAAAAGGAAACATCAGAGGTGGAAGGAGCCATAAAGGTCCACACAGAAAGTCACTGTTCACATTGTTCACAGCAATCACATGGTGTATCTCACACTCTCACATCCACACACTAACACATGAAGACATGGGTGGGAAGTCATATAGTAGACTTACAGCAAACTAGAGATTACACAGTAAACAATAGAGGAGGCAGTCACACATGCAGGTCGAACTGTTTCAGCACAGAGTTGAGGTCCAGAGCAAATGTTACAGCAGAGTTAGTTTAAGTCTAAAGATCTAAAATAGTAAATGTAAACAACTGACACAACACTTCTCAGTGTCCAGTATTGGGATTGATTTTCAAAAAGCAAGACAAGAAATCATCTAAAAAAGTAAACTACTATCCTGATATTTATTGAAAAGCATATTTTGTTTTTCTTCTATGTTTTGCATGCATTTATCTAGAGTTACAAAATTTGAAAAATTCATCACTAATCTGCCATAAGGGAAAGCGATATCAAATGTGATTTTTTTGATGCTTGGTAATGGTAATTTGTAACAATTCTTATTAATGCAGGCAAACAGTAAGACGTTATTACAACATTGAACTCAGCAATATGCTACCTGCCAGTTTTATGACTGGCAAAGACTGTTTGAGCGGTGGACATACACTCAATGACCACTTCATTAAGTACACTTGTACAATCTATTGCAATTGAAACAAAACAGCTCTGTCACAAATTCTACCATTTTGAGTTTTCATTGACATTGTTGGACATGTATGAATAATTGATATGTTTATTACTGAGGTCATGGTTAAAGGTGGTGTTGTACTGGATTACATTACACTGAGAGGCGTTTCTATTTTACGTCCTCCATACATACACCATAAGGTCATCCAGTACAACACATTACTAACTGAAGTCAATGGAAAATCCATATACAGCTATTGAATCAACACCTCTCTGACAGTGTCAACAAGAACTCAACATTATAGTCATCATAGAAGTAAACTAGATGACAGAGCAGTTGTATTGGATTGCATCAGTGGCCACTAAGTGCATACCTATACATAAACACTAAACTTTAGTTCCTTAAGAGGTGATGAATTTGAGAGAACAGCATCAAATGTAATTAAGTGGATTTATCTGCTCACATCTGAATTACACCGCTCTCTCTCCAAAGAAATAAGTGAGATAACTTACTGGAGACTTTAAGATACGCATTTTTTTTGTTGCCTAATTTGCATATTAAACATGCTGCATCTCATGGACTAAATCTGTCACTGACAACATACATTTCATACAACTTGTCAAACTGAAGCACTGTCTCACACGAAGCTTTGCATACACTTGGTGAGAGAAGAAAAGGAAGAGAGGAAGAGAGAGTGAGATAGAGAGAGAGAGAGAGGAGTGAGAGAAAGATAGGGAACCTTCCAGTAGTCCAGGATTTAGGACCCGCTGGACTCTCCTTCAATATCTAGCCTCTCGTCATCCACATTGGTGCCAAGGGCCTCCAGCTCTTAGCTGGGTCAGCAGCTGCCGTAGATAACATGCACACACACACACAGGCATATTGGGACATTTCACACAGCGTGGCCGATGTATGGCCACATTACAGGTATACTAGCTTTTATATCAACAGATTACCTTAATCAGACATAATTCTGTTTGAGAAAAGTTGATATGACTAGGGAAAAATGTAGACCACATGATTTACTAAGATCTTGTTTTGCATTCATTTGTTCCAGCGATACTCATATTACCCCAATATCATTTTCAATGCCCATGCTAAACAATATAATTTGCAGATTGATAAAATATCAACAGATGGGTGACAATTAAAGGAAAAAACAACATTAATCATCTTTGTAAGATGTTTGGTCACCACTAGCCTTGTTGGTATAGACTCCACAAGTCTCTCAGCCTCGACTGAAAGATGTAGACACCATTCTATCAAAGGCCATTCCTTAATTTAGGGTTTCTGATGATGGTGGAGAGTGTTGTTTAACACACCAAAATCCCCACAGATGATTAACTGGGTTGAGATCTGGTGACTATAAAGACCATAGAATGTGATTAAGATAATTTTCTTACTCATTAAAACCCTATCAGTGACCCCTCGTGCCCTCTATGTTAAAATCCTCATCCGTTGTGTTTATTCACACATGTATTCAGGTATTTCCTTTAATTTGTCGCCTTTCTGTATGTAAAGATGCAGTACTGGAAGCAGTCAAGCAGTAGTGTTTGCTCTACTTGTAGCTGGTTTATTGTTCATCAGTTACTAAGTAACTTTGGGTTAAATGACAGACCTCTAACCAAAAGTGCTCAGGTTATGTCAGTTGGGAAATCCAAGGCTTCAAAGCCTAAGTAGGATAAGTGAATAAGGTTTTGAAGAGAGAAGAAAAAAGTGTCATTACATATGTGTACAAGTGTGTATATACAGTATATACATACACAGTATGTCTATGTACATGTAACATGAAAGAACCTACCATTTGGTAAGAAGTGCAAGTGCTTTGCAAGAGCTTTGTCTACTTCAAGGAAGGCCTTCATTAAAACTAATTCCAGATTGGACTCCTCTGCCACAAGGTTCCTGAAACAACAACCAAATGACTATACTGATCAGTGTATCAACTACAAAAGAGACTTTTTTGTCGTAACATCAGATTCAAATTGTTAATCGGTCAACTGATTTCCTGTAATACTGGTAAAGATATGTGATCATAGCATATTCAATGACTTCCTTACTTGATGAATTTCTCCATATTTTTTTCACAGAAGTCAGCTGCTTCTAGTCCGCCATGCCCATCAAAAACAGCAAAATAGAGGATGTTGTCAGTCATTTGGGAGACCTGGAAGCGATCTTCGTTCTCCTTGCGTTGACCAATGAGTGAGGCACAGCCCACCTTCGATAAGCTGACTTTGGGAATGGGCTTGCCGTAGCGAATGCTGGGAGGCAGCAGGATGGGCTCATCAATACGATTGTCCCAAATGCCAAATGAATCCCAAGTGGTGGGCTGGCCACTGCTGTCTGCATCAAAGCGTGTGTTGCTGTGTCGCTGTTCTGAAGGGCTGTAAATTTGTCTCCGAAAGACTGTGAACTGGAGGTGGCTGTCCTGCTGCAATGGCAGTGGGGCTAGGGCCATCTGAAAAAGACCACTGCGACCCACATAAGGACCACTGCACCTTGCCAGGCGCGTGAGACAGGCTGCTGACATCACCCTGACAGCACAAACACTGAAGAAGGCCTGGATGCACAGGAAGCGGGGTGTCCCTACACAGAAGAAAAATCGTTAAGTTACATTTTAATGAACAAAACTTTTTTTTCTTCCCCAGGATGGACCTACAGTACCATAATGTCTAAAATGTTGCAGCTGCTGCCATCGACTTTGTGTTATTTGGCTAAAGGTGTCTTCAAACTAATCATTACACAAATGCGTTGGATTCTTGTCTTCTCAAAGCAGACGAACACAGGTTAATATGATGTAATGCCTTTACTTTATTACAAAAGGTGTATAGAGCAGTGATTAAGTCATGAAGGGATTGGAGAGGTCAAGAAATTAATACACAGTACTTTATGATAAGCCTGTAGTACAGTAGAAACTGTTATATACATACACACACACACACACACACACATATAAAATTAGTCAGTAAAGGTTTTGATAATCAATTAAATATTCCTTATCAAGCAAAAAATGCCATGTATTCACTGGTTCCAACCTCTCTAAAATTAAGGATTTGACGTTCATCTTAGTCAGTACATATATTCATTACATATAGCAGTAAGTTTACATCAAGATGCACTTTTCAGGTCAAGATCAAAGTTTAGGTTCGACGAATGATGCAACTCTCGACGGTCACTAAGATAGCTGCTTACGCTAACAACGACACAGTTTCTCGGTAATATACATATGCTTCGTACCCGCGTTTCAATTAAAGTACTTCAGGTATCCTAAATAACATATAGTTATAGCAGTTATGAAAAAACAACGTTAAGCTAGCGTTAATGGCTTTTCGTTCCGGCTGCGATAGCATTAACTAGCTAGCTACGTAACGATAACAGTCGTTAGCTGAATAGCGAGCTAGGTGGCTACCACTGGCTAGAAATTCACGATTTCTCCAATATCCCCGATATCGTTCCTTTTACCTTACAATGACGTGTAACTTAAAAACCATACCTTAGATCTTTTATGTGTATTAGTACGCTTTAATCCTCTGCTGGTTTCTTGAAAATCAGTCGCTAATAGCTGAATGAAAACAGCCGCCTTAGTAGCGTCTCAGTGTGTTGATTCCTCAGTGTTATCAAACAAGGCCTGTGATGTGACCGCACCAATCGGCGTGCTTGAAACGTATACGCCTCCTTGACGCCCCACGTACCATGCAGATGATTGGTCAACGAAACGATCAATGACAGTTGGTAGCACTAATCATTAATCGGCTACTTTTGCATCCCGCAGCCAATCATAGAAGCATTGGATGTTGACGTAGCCTGTAGCCAGCAGTGATGAAAATAACTAATTTTTGTTTTGGTTAGTAGCATAAAGGGAATGATAACCAGTACGTCCCCATATACAACGTTATAGTAAATATCCAGTCAGAGATAGCATAAATAAATAAAGATAAATATAAGCATAGATAATCAATAATAACATTGTTAATGTTTAGACGTTACACTCAGTGTCATATTTCAGAAAAGATGTTTACTCATTAAGAATAAATGAAAATCATCTTGCAAACATGCACCATACAAAAAGACATCACCGTAAATGTACATTTATTGACATTTTACAATTTTTCTGCCAAAACGAGTTATTATCCATGACTACAAGTGTAATATACATTACACTTCATCCTAGAGAAACTACCAGGTGGGAAGCACCTGTTAAGAGATGTCTGTTTGACAGATCAATAAGTTAGACATACAGTGCATTTAGAAACTTTTCTTTTTTACATTTTATTGTTTTGCAGTCTTATGTTGAAATCATTTAATTCATTCATCAATGTACAATGCCAGCAAGCTAGCTGCTAACTAATGCTAATGCTAATGCTAATGCAGAGATTGCCCCCAGCAGGTCATGTGCCCAGCCAGCAAGCTAGGCCTGTTTATGCCTAATTCATTCCCCACCTATGACATGTAAATTCAAAATAGTAATAGTAATAGTAATAAAATAAAATCTAATTATTTTTGCTTCTATTTATGTGGCAGTAATGAAAATTAAATTAATCATTGTCAAAATTTGTCATGTTGTGTTTCAGAATGATGGAGACAGAGAACAATTAGATTCAAAATATGATGCAGGCTCTGGATGATTTTTTTCCTGGGCAACTATCATGTTTTCCCCAAATTATGTACAAATGGCTTGATACAGTAAATAGTGCTCTGCCCCTGCCAGGAGGTATGGTAAGATATCCCCAACAGTATCCCAGGGGCCATATTGTACTTCTAATGAAATCAATTTTTTGACATCTCAAATTATGTAGATCCAAACGATATGGAGTGAATCTGGGGCTTTTGGGCCCCCTAGGGTTCTGGGGTCCCTATGTGTAAGACCCTCACATGGACCTGTCAACAAGGACAGACTGGAACAAAAACGGACCAATCACACCCCTCCTGCCTGTAACGTTCAGTGACGTTGGCAGTGGTGGCACTTCCGCGTTTGTTTTCTGAGCTGAACCGAAACCAGACGCCCAATTTCAGGATGTACCTATCCAGGTAAACACCCCCTGTTTGCTGTGTTTTTTTAAAATTGTGAACAAGCCAGATGTATTACAATACCATTTTACTTACAATCTAGACATCGGTTAAGAAGCGGATTTCTATTTTTTAGTTTTAAGAGTGACAGCCAGCGTTGCTATAGCTTGCTAAGCTTAGTTAGCTAACTATTAACTGTTATGGCTTATGAGGGTCGTCCAGCCGTATGTTGTGGTTCCGTTGCTAAACCGTTTAACCAGATAATGTCAGTGGAAATGTTTAGTTTTGGCAGGGTATATCCAGTCTAACCATATAACGGAGACTCAGGCCACTCCTCTTCACTTTGTCCCGAACAGCAGGTTAAGGTAATGTTAAATACATATCGCTACAGATGATGAATCAGGACCATTTACACTTGACACATAAACTCACCTACTCATCTACTAATTGTGATTGCAATGTTGCTACCACTTTCTGATAAGACACTGTTTGCTGTAATAAATTATTTTCTAATGCTTAATATATCAGATAAAAAAAATAATAATAACAACTTTTGGGTTACCAGATTGTGTAAAATCCCGTCTTTCAAAGTAGCTCTTATATCCATTTGGGAAACCCACCCAATCACTGGACCAAACAAAGTGGGCAACTGCCTAGAGGCCCCATTAATCCCAAATTTGTCAGAAATTTGCACCACTTGAAGTACAATATCAACAAAACTCCTCCATCCTCTTTCTTATAGAGGGACTCTGTATCAAAATCTGGTTTTAAGACCTTTACTATTTTTTTTTTTTTGCTTATTTGTGTTTTTATCAAATTACTAACATGTCTTCTGTGTGCCAAGTAATTAACACATTTAATTGTCTAATTGTTTGGTCTATAAAATGTAAGAAATGGTGAAAATGTCCATCACAATTGCCCAGGGCCAAAGGATATGTATTCAGATGATTGTGTTATCTGATTTACGGTCTAAAACCCAAAGATAATCAGTTTGTTATTATAATTGACAAAGATAAACATCAAATCCTAATATCAGAGAATTTGGAACCAGTGACTGTGTGGCATTTTATGCTTGATAAATGATTGCAACATTTAATTGATCATCAAAATATTCACTGGTTTTCTGTCAATTGACCAATGGATTAATCAACTACATGTTTCATCTCATTATAACCTTCACGAAGGTAGGATTTATTGCAGGGTTGTTGTATCAGACTGCATTAGTTTTAGTTCAGTGTACCTAGTAAACTGTCAGTTGAGTGCAGGTAATGTTATACTCAGTGGAGACTCAGTGGAGTCTCTGTTTATTACCCGTGGTTAACTCTGTTTATAACATGCATGTATTGGATTGACATTAAGGCGGGACTACTTGAAGCTGCTTAAACTGGGATTACACTGACAGGGTTATTTAAACACACTGCCTGTTCTTCTGTCATAGCACTTACATCATTCTCACACTCAGCCACACCTACCTCTAAATCCATCCATCTTTACTTCATTCTTAAAAACATCATCAGGGTTCATACATGGAGCACAGTGATCTGCATGTGTTCCCAATAAAGAAAAATGACATCACTTTGTTTTTTATTATTTCCAGGGTTGGAATTTACATGAAGAGGAGAAAGCGGGGCTGCTCTCAAGCCTGAACATCATTGTCTTCCTCCATCTGGCCATCACTCTCTCTGCCTCCCCAAGATTGGTGCTCATCCCCTCTCCCCTCACCAACATGCTGTGTTGGGGGAATGCAAAGGATGGACAGTTGGGCATTGGTATGGATAGGAACCCCATGTTTGAGCCAAGGAACTGTCTTGTGTTCAGTGGCAGGGGACTGAAAGAAGTTGCCTGTGGAGGGCAACACTCAATGTTCTTGCTGCAGGATGGTAGTGTGTACACATGTGGCGCTAACTGTTGTGGACAGCTGGGCCATGACAAACCAGGGACTTCCCCAGGTAAGCTTTCAGCAGATTAACTGACTCTTCGTTAATTATGACAGATTAAGTTGCACCAACCTGCGGCATTGCTTTCAGTAGGTGTGGGTGGAAAGTTACCAAAGATGTGTGAGAATGTGGGTGAATGTGACATGATTAGTTTTTAAAGGGTGTTTGTATAATTATGGCTTCATTTCTTAACCTTTTTTATTCAAAATATCAATCTTTCTAAGTGATTGAAAAGAGATAATAAACTAAAATAGCTATTATGTAGCAGTTGCAATTAGACTTGCTTATAGTTACACCTTCACCAACATACTGGCTGACACTCTAGATTACCCCATGTTTATGTAAGATGCTTTACAAATGTACAGTGAAATGTCCTTTGCAGGCCTGAGTAAGTTCGGTTGCTGTTGGGAGACAGCTGCTGGATATCACATGACCTGGATAACTGAACAACTACAGAATGTAGGCAAAGATACTAAGTAAAAATTTGGCAATATCAAGCTTTACTCCACAACATATGCATTTTATTTAGCTGTCATATGCAACAGGAAATGAATTTGACAGAAAACTGACAGAAAATGTATTTCCATATTGTAAATTTAAATTGGTGGAAAAAATGTTTTTGCCCAAAATAGTCTTTTGTTTTGCGAACTTCAGATTGCACAACTAACAATATAGCCATTTCTAGGAGATTTGAAACACTTGCGTAGCTTGTGAAATGTTTGCAGACAGTGGTAGGTCTGTGTTGGTATCATGTGGGTGGAAGTTTGTGTTGTGTGTTACTTTGTATAGGCATGTGGGTGAAGCTGTAACAACAATGAATAAAAGCGAGACTTTCTGACTTTTGAACAAATAAATACCCCAAAAAACCTTGGTTACAAATGTGTAGGAGAGAAACTACCTTGATGATATCCCACACATTGTTTAAGGAGTTAGTTTCACTTTACTTGAGACAGTAGGCCTCTATTTTATTTTTATACTGTAATTGTAGCATGTTCAACCCAGTTAATCATCTTTGTTAAACCTACTCCATAACAGGAAACCACATAAAAAACTAGTACACCAAGTTTCTTTGCACTCCTTCACATGTCCTCTTCACATGTGCTTTGCTTTGCTTCACATGGATGACTGACAGTTTTATTTACACACACACACACACACACACACACACACACACACACACACACACACACACACACACACACACACACACACACACACACACAGGGATACATATAGTATTAGTATAGTAGTTACTAGCATCTGAATCTAGTTATTTTGTTGTTACCTGTTTTATTTTGAGGTAATTTCATAGTATCTAAGTCTGGTTCTGTCTAAAAAAATTGTTGGTGAGATAGAGTACCAGTGTTAAATGTCTTGTATGGGTTGGGTCCATGAGGGCATAATGAATGCATTATGCTTCAGCAGAGCCTGGAACATAATGAAATACCATTTAGAGGAGAGGCAGCTAACTGGAACAATAAAGTGATAATCAAAATCAAAAGATGGTTGAGTTTGGATGAATGAAGATTAGTTAGAATGAGAATTTATGGCCAGAGAGTATTGCTTGCTAAATGAAAACATAGCTTGAAAATAAAAAATCAGTCAAGCAAACTGGTAAAGTCGCTTCTCGTGAAAGGAAAATACCTGCCCTCCCAAATTGAAGTTGTACATAT